AAACAAATAGAGCAGTTTTGTTACTACCTTGTGAAAGTGTGTGAATTTATGTATAGGTAGAGATATTTCTTTAAAAGTGTATAAAGTAGTTTACAGTTTCTTATGTAGTCCACTTGGTCTTTGTATACTGATTAAATTTTTAATTAAAAAGGAAATTTTTTGGAGCAGCTAGGTGGTGTAGTGGATAGAGAGCTGGGCCTGACAATGAGTCTTCCTGAGTTCAAATCTAGCCTCAACCAGTTACTAGCTGTGTGACCCTGGGCAACTCACTTAACCCCAATTGCCTCCAAAATAAAAAAATAAAAAATAAGTTTGGGGCAGCTAGGTGGTGCAGTGGACAGAGCTCCAGCCTTAGAGTCCGGAGGACCTAGGTTCAAATTTGGCCTCAGACACTTGACACTTACTAGCTGTGTGACCCTGGGCAAGTCAGTTAACCCCAATTGCCTCACTAAAAAAGAAAAAAAAAGGAAAATTTTTTAAAAAGTGGTAGAACTAATGCAACTAGAATAAAAAGAAAAGATAGAGTGTGTGGGAAAAAAATCTTTGCATTAAAAATCTCTAATAAAAGTTCAGCCACCAAAATCTATATAGGAAGTTGGATAAAATATAAAATTAAAAGAGATTCTCAATATCCAGTGATCTGAAAACATAGTTTTCAAAAGAAGAAATACAAATTAGCACCAACCATCTGAAAATCTGTTCAAAATAACTAATAATCACAGAAGTACACATTGAAATAATTCGGGTATTACCTAATATTTATCAAATTAGGAAAAATACTAAAAGATAGAAAAAGTCAATTCTGGAAGGGCTATGAGAGTTGGAAGGAACTTGAATGTCCATTTAGTCCAACTTATACCCGAACAGCATCTCTACTCTAGTATACCCAATAAGTGATCATTGAGCCTTTGCTTGAAGAACTCTAAGAAAGGAGAACCTACCACTTCTTAATGTAACTTGTTCTGTTTTTGACAACTCTAATTTTTAAGAAGTTTTTCCTAACATCAAGCCTGAATTTTTCCTCTTTGTAACTTCTGTCAGTTGCTACTGATTCTGCCCTCTTGGTCCAATTTAATCTTACATCTTCCACTTGAGAGCTCTTCACATATTTGAACAGCTTAGCTGTCATGGCCCCTCTGAATCTTTTCTTCTCCAGGTTAAACATGTCCATTCCCTTCCAGTGAGCTTCATATAGTATAGCTTCACTATCCTGGACAGGGATACTAATTCATTGCTGGTGGAGCTGTGAGTTCATCTAATCATTCTGAAAATAAACTTGGAATTATGTAAAAAAAATTATTAAACTGTTCATCTTTTTTGACCCAGAGATTCCACTATTGAGGTTATCTCAAAGAGGGTAGTTGACAGCAAGAAAAGACTCAATGTACAAAAATATTCATAACAGCACTAATTGTAAAAGCTAATAGATGGGGATAAACTATATGCCTAACAATTGGGGAATAGCCAGACTATGGTATATCAATGTGTAATAGATGTATTTTTGTGCCATAAAATACATATATATTTGTGCCATAAAATTCACAAAAACATAGGAAAACTTGTGTGAATTGATGGAGAGTGTGGCAGTAGAGGTGAAAGGACAACAGTATAATGACTATAACAATGTGAATGAAAACATTAAATGACAATAAAATTTGGGACAGTATTTATACTAGATTAGTAATTCTAAAGTGAACATCCTTTCTGTATGAAATTGATAAACTATCAAAAAGTAAAAGTAGTATATACTAACATTCAGACTGTTTTAGGTATTCTTAATTCACACCTGGGAATATATGCTATGGAGTGTTTGGAATGTGTCTTGAGTGTCAAACCTGAATATATTAGTAAGATTTTTTTAAATAACAGAAAGTGGTATAGCTTCTCCCAGTCCTCTTCTAACAAAGAAAGAGGCCAACACAGTCTTTTACAAAACAAAATTATGTCCTAGCCAAACATGTTATGGTAAAGCTATAGAAGGAAAATAAATAATCTACTTTGTTCAGTCAATTCACAAACATTTTAAGCACCTTCTGTGTGCCAGTCACAATACTAGAACTCGGTGATACAAAGAAGCCCCTGCTTTCAAGCAAGTAGCTGAAATTCTATCTGGGGAGACAAACATATACATATATATGTATATACAGGATAGTTACAAGGCAGTTTTTGAAAAGGATAAGGATAATAGGTGGCATTTTTATAGCATTGGAAGGTTTTCACAACACTACATGTACTTTATTCATATACGGTGACCTACTTGCTGTTCTTCATATGCGACACCCATCTCCTTACTGGGCATTTGCACTAGCTGAACCCCTTGCCTGGAAGGTTCTTCCTCCTTCTTTCTAATTTCTAGCTTCCTTTGAGATGCAGCTCAAATTCCATCTTGGGAGGCCTTTTCCAGTCACATTTCTCCCCTTCTCCCTGTCCCTTCCTTCTGAGATTACCTTCCATGTCTAAATGTAGATGGGAGCATACTATTTGCTCTCCTTTTCTTTTGTTGTTTTGTTTCTTCTTTCTCATGGTTCCTCTCATTAGTTCTAATTCTTCTTTATATCATGGCTAATGTGAAAATATGTTTAATATGAATGTAAAAAAAAATCAATGATCTTGTACTAATAAATCTTAAAAATATTTACTCATGCAAAAACAATAAGATTACCTTCCATTTCCAGTGTCTCTATCTTATATGTACATAGTTGTTTTCGTAGGCTCCTCCATTAGAATGTGAGGTCCATGAGTGAAGGAACCATGTTTTTGTCTTTCTTTGTATTACCAAAGCTTAGGATAGTGCCTGACATACAGTGTTTAATCAGTGCTTGTTGACTGACTGGGACTATATAATCCCATAACAACCCTTCGAGGTGTAGGTGCTATTATTATCCCATATTTATAGATGAGGAAACTGAAGCTGAGAGGGGGAAGTGACTTGCCCAGTGTCATACAAGCAAGCAAATACCTAAGGTGGGATTCAAAATCAGGTCTTCCTCACTCAAGTCCAGTACTTTATCTACTATGCCAAACTGCTTCTTAGGAAATCAGTGATCAAGAATTATCTTGTGTAGAATCTGGTGATGTTGAACTGAGTCTTGAAGGAAGCCGGGGATTTTAAAGGGCAGAGATGAGGAGGGAGTGCATTCCAGGCATTGAGTCTGTGAAGGGAATTATGATTTTCATATTAATCAATATGATATATGTAATGAGTATACCAATAATTTAGATTTCTCAGAGCTGCCTCTTCTGTCTTGGGAGTCAGAAACTTATAATACAGTTTGAAATGATCAGTTAAACCCTTGACAATGCTCTCACAATCACCACATTCCTGTGCCTGTGTATGTTAAGTATAGTGAATCAAAGATCGTAGAACCTCCTCCCGTCACAGGACTCCAGAACACCTAGATTGTCCTGCACTCATGGGAAACCAGTCAGGACCTGGAAATGATTTCCCCTTTCCCACTTGTGATTTATATATAAAAACTGTGCCATTTCTTAAGCATGTAGAACATTCCTCACTCTGAAAGTAATTAAACTGCTACTTACTTGCTGGCGCTCATGTCCCTTGCCTGCTTTGTGCGGCTCCAGGTATTCACAGGTTAGAGACCTGTCCGGACTACATTTAAAATTCCGTTAATATTAGATATTTAAGGGTGAAAAGTGGGAAGCTTGGGAACTTTTGAGCCCCAAGGGAAGAAAAGGGTCCCAGGATTGCATATGTAAGCAGCTTCAGAAGCCAGCAGATTGCAAGTAAAGGGTTCTTAGCCCAAACTGAGCATTTTTTGTTGTTGTTACTTAGTCATTTTCAGTCATATCTGACGCTTCATGGCTCCTTTTGGGGTTTTCTTGGCAAAGATACTGAAGTGGTTTGCCTTTTTCTCCTTTAGCTCATTTTACAGATGAGAAAACTGAGGCAAACACGGTTAAGTGGCTTGCCCAGGGGTCACATAGCTAGTAAGAGTCTGAGGCCAAATCTGAATCTAAGTGTTGCTGACTCCAGGCTCAGCCCTCTATCCACTACACCACCTACCTACCCCTGAACTGAGCATAGTCATGAACAATTAGAATTGTGTCTGGCTCACTGTTCCACTTAAGGAAGATGTGTCTGGATATAACTTTGTGGGTTTCTTTGATTGTGGTTGCAACTGGAAGCTGGTGAATTTATCCCCTCTGTTCTTCCTCTGTCTCTGCTACTTCAATGGATTTATTAACTCAGGAGTTTTTCTGTTATGCCTTTAAATTTTGATTGCTTGCTGTATGTACTTCTGTAATGGATTTTGTCTCCAGATAAAAGAGAAACTAATTTTTATTATGCTCTGAGTGTTTGCTATTAGGGGGTGGACCAAGCAATGGAAGACAAAAATGAGCCTGTATTGGAGCCCCTTCCTTCTTTCTGGCAGCACAAAAAGGGACTTCATATTTATTGGTAATTTTATTTACTAGAGAGACAGTGTGGTATAGTGAATAGAAAGCTCACTTCAGAGTCAAGAAGACCTGGGTTCAAACTTTGATCTGACTGACTTTTTGATCCTGGGTAAGACATTTAACATTTTGGGCAACTCTTTTAAGATTATAGGTTACAGGTGTGTGACACTGGGCACATCACTTAACCCCAATTGCTTCATGTAAAAAAAAAAAAGAAGATTATAGGTTACAAAACAGTTGATGATTTATACTTATAGAGGAGTTTTCTTACTAGGAATTACCTTAAATTGATAAAATCAAAAGTGTGGGCCAAAAAAAGAAATTAGGTTCTTTTGTACTTCTTCTCTGGGATTGAAGTGGGAGCGTGTTTTAATTTAATTTAAAAAAAACTTTTTTTTAAACTTTAATCGTAAGCTGAATTTAATTTAAAAAATTAATTTTTATTAGGTAATTTTAAAAATTATCTGACCTTGCTTTTCTTTTCTTTCTCTGGTTTGCTGTGTATAGTAGATTTATATTATACTAAAAACAAGTTTCCCTAACCTGGATTTTCTTTTCTTTTTCTGGTTTGGTGTGTATAGTAGATCTAAATTTCGCTACAACCAGCAGTTGTTTCCAGATAGTTCTCCAGGTGACCAGTGGGTGAAGCACAGGCAATCACAGCAACAGAAGCCATTCAGTAATCATTCTGACATATCTGATCTTTTAAAAACAAAGGTAAGTGGGCAGCATTTAAAAGTTTTCAGACCTTTGAAACTTTGACCTTCAGAACCCTTTGTTTCCTAATCTTATCTGAATTAAAGAACTTAAAAGAATTAGTTTGCAAAGCTGTGACTTGCCTACAAAGGCGAATATGTTAGTAGCCTGTTGTTTGTAGGGAAGATACCTAATACTTAACTTTTTCATCTTTGATATAAATCCAGTACAGGTAAGTAATGGCTAATAACATGTATTTAGTTTTGGTTCATCTAGCTATCTAGAGAAAGATCTGTTCAGAAAATGAATAAGGCCTGTGAAGAGAGAGACTAGGGCCCTATAGTAGAGGGCTGTGGATCCCAGCTGAAGAACTTGGATGTCATGTAGGAGGTAATAAAAAGCCATTAAAGTTTTTTGAATGGATCATTGATATTTCATGACAGCATGCTTGCCCAGGTTCTGGATAATGGACAATGCTCTCGTGCCTTCCCAGTCACCAGTGGAGTGCAACAAGGCTGTGTGCTTACTCCCATGCTTTTTAGCATGATGTTTTCAGCCATGTAGTCAAACGTTTTCAATGACGATGAACGTGGCATCAAGGTTAGTTACCACACTGATGGTAAATTCTTCAACTTGCAAAGATTCCAAGCTAAGACCAAGTGGAGGGAGTGTTGGTGCATGATTTTCTGTTTGCAGATGACTGTGTACTCAATGCAGCCTCTGAAGCCAGGATGCAACAAAGTATGGATCGATTCTCTACTGCTTGTGCTAATTTTGGTCTAACAATTAACAGCAAGAAAACACAGGTGCTCCATCAGTCACCACCACCACACTATCCATATGTGGAACCATTGGTTACAGCAAATGGAGAAGTTTTGAATGCTGGGAATAAGTTCATTTACCTTGGTAGCGTACTTTCCAGGGATGTACACATTGATAATGAGGCTAACGCGCACATTACCAGAGCTAGCTCAGTGTTTGGGAGGCTCCGAAGGAAAGTATGGGAGAGAAGAGGTATTAAACTGACTACCAAACTGGTTGTGCTGACCTCATTGTTGTATGCCTGTGAAACCTGGACAGCATATTAGCGCCATGCCAGGAAACTGAATTGCTTCTATTTGAATTGTTTTAGGAAGATTCTGAAGATCACCTACCAGGATAAGATAGCAGACACTGAGGTCCTTTCTTGAACTAAACTGCCAAGCAGTCAAACTCTGCTTCAGAGAGTGTAACTCCAATGGGCTGGCCACATTGTTCTAATGCAAAATGTACACTTGCCAAAAAGACTATTTTATAGAGAACTCACCTAGGGCAAGTGTTCACATGGTGGTCAGCAGAAGCAATGCAGGGATACTCTCAAGGTCTTTCTTAAGAACTTTGGAATTGATTGTGTGACATGGGAGACACTGGCACAGGACTGCTTAGCATGGCATGCCCTCATCAGAGAAGGTGCTGTGCTCTGTGAGCAAAGTAGAATTGAGGTAGCTCAAGAGAAATGCAAGATACGCAAACTTAAAGAATATACCCCAAAGGTTCACATGGACTATTTGTGTACAACCTGTGGTAGAACATTCCAAGCTCGTATTGGTCTGATCAGCCACAGTTGTACTCACTAAAACTTGACTCTGGCATAGTGATGGCATTTTGGTCCTCTTCGAAAACGAAGGACAACAACAAGATAGGATAAATATACTTGAAGAAGATAGCTTTGTGTAGATTTGAATGGTATGGGGAGGGAACAGAGTCAGAGCTTCTGGTTGGAGGATTATTGAAGTAGTCTTGGAAAGATGTAATAAGGATCTGAACATATTGGCAGTGGAAATGGAAAGGACAGGATAGATAAGTGATACACAAGACATTTTGGACGTACCACATTTGGATGTGGTCTGTAATTAATTGTAGCCATTTGTCTGTGACCAGCAAGTTGAATATGCCTCTTATGTTTCTAGCTCAGTAATAGAAAGAAAGTGGGAGTTGGGTTGCAGGGTAAGATTACATGTGTAACAGAAGGGTAGTGTCTTCCTTTTATGAGGAGCAAAGGGTGTTTTATGGAAATATCCAGTGATTGTGTTGATAGGTATTGCTGCCAGTCATACTTGTCAACATGCAGACATTTTCAAACCAGCTTTTATTATTATGCCCTGCTCAGGGTTCTAAATTACTTCTGGGCAATAGACAAAGTTCTTGTAAGGCATATTTAGTTGCTAATTACATCAGAGTAAAACAGGTACAACTGCTGAAAGTAAGAGGTAAAGATTTACATTTCAAAGATAAACTTGTAAAACCAATAGCAGGCAAATGTAGAGGAAAGAAATTTACATGTCAAAAAGTAACAGGAGAAAAATCACATCAGATCTAGTTGTAAATTGATAATCCAATATAGATAAGAGTTAGTCGAATGAATGGTTATTTTTTGTTTGTTTGTTTTTGTTTTTTGCAAGGCAGTCAAGGTTAAGTGACTTGCCCAGGGTCACACAGCCAATGAGTATCATGTGTCTGAGGCTGGATTTGAACTCAGGTCCTCCTGACTCCAGGGCCAGTGCTCTGTCCACTGTGCCACCTGGCTGCCCCTGAATGGTTATTTTAAAATGGAGCCAGAATTTACCCTTAACCAGTTAATCATCTTGAGTTAATTATCAGAAGTGTCAACTAAATTCCATAGGCTCACTGGCTGGGCTACATGATTTTTCCTACAGATAAAATGGTGTTGTTGGAGCCAAATTTAAAAACTTACAACAGATGGTACTATTGTAAAAGCCCAGAAAATGACAATTTTGTTTATCATAACCAAGTTGGACTTGGGTTTTAATTTCCATTTTAGAATTAATCTAAAATTAAAGAATTAAAATTAAAGAAGTCTTTTTGGTAAGCCACATTTTATTAGCATCAGCGAAAAACACTTTATCTTAAAGTGTCAATGTGGTAGCTAAACATTCACGGGAATGTTTTAGTTTTTTAATTACTATTTCAACATCTCCAATTTTAAATAAACAAAATTTCCGTATCCATTTAATTTAACTTTAAGACTTTTAATTCTAAAATATTTACTCTGATTTCAGAAAAAAAATTAATATTTCAGCTTTATAACAATTTGGAGGTCATTCAGAGCAATATTTGTTCACGCTGATGTTATTGATAATGTAGTCTGTTCTGTATTTGGGAGTCTTGAACATTTTTAAACAACCCATCTCATTTGTGGGCATAGATATTAGTCATTTATACAGGACATTCTTGTCTTACTCCCTATTCCACATACTGTCTTCAGCTGTAAAATGAGGAAGTAGAGCTGGGTGATTCCAGTTCTAGTACATTTCACATTTTGTAATTCTTAGATTGTTATGAGACCATAGCAAAATTGCCTTAGTTCTTTCTCCCAAATGGTCCCTTGTGGCAACCAATTAAAATTTCTAAATCCCTTTTCTGTTTCTTATACATATGCATTTCTTTCATTTGTCTAATAACTAGAATCTGGTGGCAGAGGTGAAGGGAAGTCAAGATTCTAGAAGGATTCATACATGCTCTTATATATACACTATATCAGATCTTTGGGAATCTTGAATCTTTCTTTGGGAAATGCTGTCCTAAGAAAATATATCTTTATCTTGTAGTTCACAGTATAGTGTGAAATCCCTTTGGAGTTTGCTAAATTCTCACAATTGAATAAACATTCATGATTCATAGGGGCATTAATTTGATATTTCCCCTATTATGCAATGATGCATGTTTCAATTTAATTTCTCTTTTTGGAATAGCAGAATCAGAATGTGAGAGGAAATGGCAGAAAACAGTATCAAGACTCCCCTAACCAAAAGAAGAGAACAAATGTAGTTCACAGTCAGCAGCCTAAGCAGCAGAACCACACATTGGTAAGAGGAAAAGTGATAGTGATCTGGTTTAAACTACAGTGGTTAACCTAAGAACAAAGTTTTTAATGTACTGTTGACAAGGTTCTTTGAGCTATTCTGTCTAAAGTAAATATTTTCTTTGCATATATGAGGATAGAAAATATTTCACTTAGAAATTCTACTTTTTAGGGGGCAAGAGGACAATTGAAATTCCTGAACTGTCATCTGTTTTAAGAATGAAAGTAACAATAGCTCTTTTGTTACATGAGTTTAGATACATTGCTAGTCATATAATGTCTTTTGACATATAATTATTATATTGGTAAAAAATTATAGGGTTAGTTAGCCTGTTAAATGGGTTTTAGTTCTATCTTACAACCATGAGCATTACCAAGAGGGTCCCAGTATATTGTGGAGCAACATTGGAGGAAAAAGCTAATCTACCTGGTATCCTTTCTTCATTTCATGGTGTCTCCTGCCAAATCTTTAACCAAAAGTTGTCAGACCAGGAGAAAGATGGCCCAGAGAAAACCAAGTCAAGAAGCATTTATTAAGTACACACTATTTCTGAGGCACTGTGCTAAACAGTGGATATAAAGAAAGGCAAACAAAACAAAACAGTTCCCTGCTTTTAAGAAGCTCACAGTCAAATGGCATCATAAACTTGTGGTGTGTGATGTAGTGTGATGTGTGTAAGTTGGTAAAAAAGTACTTATGAATCAGAGTGATCAATGCCAGAAAGACCAAGACAATTTAGTTTAGTGAAAGGTGGGGAGTTATTATTATTGTTTATTTTCTTCTGTGATTTCTCTGCCTTCTATTGCTGAGGTCATTGACTATCTCTTGCTCAAGCAAGTCTTGAAAATAGCATTGGGAACCTAGTAGAAATAACAATTAGAACTGTATGGAGCAAATTTTCTTTCTGAGGCTAAGTAAATCCTCCCTACAGATACCACTTTGACTAGGCTAATTAATTACACATGTCTGGTTCCTGTGGAAGATAAGACAGTTTTTATTCATCTTCTTTTTGAGTGGGACATGGGAAGTTACTTAAGCTTTATTAAATGTTGTGTAGCGTTTTTTGGGGTGTGTATATCATTAATATTTCACTTGACACATGACAGGTTTTGTGGGCCTATCCATTATATAACAACATTATATTCAGGCTTTAAATACCTGTTTCCCTGGAAGTTTTCTGAATTGTATTAACTTATATGTATTCACTACCTCTATTTATAGTATGGATTTTACTCTCGGTTTGACTGAGGAAAAGATAAGTTGGAGGTCTTGTTCTGTGGTGACCCTTACAGTTTTCCTGAATTAGTCAGTTGCACACATGAGCATCCTTGTTTCAATATTAATTTTAATATGGGCCCTTTGTCATTGGTGGTATGTGATGAAGGAAGGAAAAGCTTTTCTGATATGTTTATCCAAATTTACATTATGTTGAGAGGGAGCCCAGCATAGTAGGAAGAGTACTGCTTCTGTGAATCCACAACTTAATGACCTTGGCAAGTTGCTCTTTTGTGAGGCTCAGGTGAAAGTGCTTTGTAACTGTTAGGCATCCTATAATATAATGTAGGATTTTACGCCCTTTTTATGTAGATATTGGTAGAGATATATACGTTGCACAATATAATTTATCTCCCTACGTAAGCATTAACATGATGCGCTAAGAGTCTTAGTGCAGTTTAAAATGGTTTGCACTAAGAATTTTGGGACTGTGTGTGTGTGACAAAATATGATTGGTATTTCACAGCAAGATTTAAAAATATATATATGTGTGTATGTATACATGTGTATATGTTATTTATCTGTCTATTGATCTATCAATCTATGATATTTCATAACGTTACGAAATCATTAGTATAGGGAACTACCAGATGAAGAAACTATTGCTAATATATCTTCTAGTCTTAGAGATTGCCTGGGGTACTTCAAGATTTATTGGCTTTCCCAGGGTCACACAGCCAATGTATGCTAGTGATGGGATTTGAACTCAGGACTTCTACACTCTGAGTCTTACTATTTTTTTGCACTGCTTCTCAGATGACAATATTCTTGAGAAAGCTCCTATAAATACATTTTTAAATGCTTATTTTAAATTCACTAGGAAAACCTTTTGACTCTTTTGGTAGATTAAATAATTCTTTTGAAAAAATGCAAATAATCATGTATTTTAAAATTTCATAGTTTTGTGCATTAGATTTTCATAAAGTGGACATCATGAATGATTTTTTTTTTATTGTGAGGCAATTGGGGTTAAGTAACTTGCCCAGGGTCACACATCTAGTAAGTGTCAAGTATTTGGTCTGAGACTGGATTTGAGCTGAGGTCCTCCTGACTGCAGGGGCGGTGCTCATGGGTGATGTTTTAAAATTCCTAGTTCTGGAACCAAGGAAAGTTCAATTTAAATGTGTATCATACTATTTATTCTTTATTAGTAATAACTAAATCTGTGTTGACAGAATTAATAAGAGGTGGTTTGGGTTTTGTTGTTTTGGGGGAACATTATTGTCATGGAGTATCTAATTTGAAAATTTTATCATTAGTAATGAATCCTTCCTACTTAACTTATTTTAGAATGTGTTTTTGGATTAGTATAAAGAACTTAATTATTGATGGCTTGGTTTTGTTTTTTAATAGAAATGTGAAAAAAAACTTCATATAAGGAAACTACAGGATAATTTTGAAACAGGCAAGTATTTTTCTACCTTTTGATATTCTCATTCTGGCATGACATTGTTCAGGTCTTACTCTGACTTTGGCTTAGTTTTTAGTGAAAAGGGCCTTGTCTTTATTGAGATAACTGTATTAGAGCCAATTGCCCAAATTGTGTGTACAATTTCTATATGTAATAACAGCCTTTTAATTGAGACAGGTAGTAATAAGAAAAATTAGTATAACAAATAATGAAGATGAGATGATTATCTTGTATCACTTCAGCATTGTTTCTTTATAAATCTCAGACCTCAGGTCCTTACATGTATAAGTATTATTATATTGAATATGTATTATTATGTAGACTGATGACTTACTGAAGTTCATATGATATAGCTGAACCAATCATAGCTTAGAAACTAAATACTGTGAGTATTGTTTTTGATGATAGAGCCAAAATTTTGAATAAGAATTTATAAAAATAAAAATTTGGCTTTCTTTATCCTCATTTGTAAAACTACAGGTCCAAATGTCATGATCAGAATTGGAAATTAATGAAAACTAATGTAGAAAGCTATTTTCTAATGCTGATTTAATAACTATTATTTGGAAAATGGAGTGGCCTATCTTTCCTGAATTATACGAAGTTTCCTTTTTAGTGGACATGCAGTTATTCAGCATCTAAATTTAAGGCTTCCATATGGAAGTGTTTATAAGAATAAGAAGCTATATGGTAATATTCCTTTTTTCTCCAGCAGTGATGTTCCTTTTTTCTCTAGTCCTTGCTATGATTTTGAGCAAGGTAAGCTGTTGTAAGGCAGGATACTTTAACCATACTTGAGAAATTTATGCCTAAATACAATTAATAGGAAATACCCTAGTTCAACATATAGATAATTAAAATTATAGAATTCCATTCTATAAAATAGTTCTTGTAACTTGTTTGTATTGGGGAAGAATGTTCATTCAGTGTTGAATCTAAAAAGAGTTTTCCTGCATTCTTCAGAAACCAAAGAGATTATAAACACATGAAAGTATAGGACAGCCTTGTATATTCAGATTATCTGATCATGATCTGGAGCTACAAAAATCTGAAATCTAGATAGTGATAAATGGGCTCTAGTCATGTGACCTTTTATTCTCCAGATCTTTTCCTGCCATATTCCATAACCATGTTCCAGCCTTGCCTGCCCTGACCCTGCTCTTTTTTTCCCTTCCCCCCTCCTGCTGGGGGGAAGGTGGAAGTTGGGAAGTCTGGATAAATTAGAACATTGGATAAATGAATTTGTATTGTACTACTCTTTTTTTAAAAAAAAATTTACTTATCTATTTTTAGCATTCACTTTTAAAAATTTTTAGTCCCAAATTCTCTCTCTCTCTCTCTCTCTCTCTCTCTCTCTCCCTCTCCCCCTCCCCTTCCTTACCCATTGAGAAGGCAAGCAATATAATATTAATTATACATGTGAAGTCATGCAAAACATTACAATATTAGCCACTTTGGGGGAAAAAAAGCAAGATAAATAAAGTGAAAAAAAGTATGCTTCACTCAGCACTCAGAGTACATCGGTTCTCTCTCTAGAGGTGGACAGCATTTTTCATCATAAGTCTTTTGGAGTTATCTTGGATTATTGTCTTGATTACAGTATTTCACAGTTCATCATTATCATTACAATATTCTGTTACTGTGTACAATGTTTTCTTAATTCTACTCACTTTTTTTATAAATTTTATCAATTTTTAATTTATGAAATAAAGCAACCATTTCCATAGTAGAATAATAAAAAGATGATTGCATATGAAACTGCTTATCTGTTATGTACACCTTGCTATTCCTTTAAAATATGTAATAAAGTTACTTTGTAAATTTCTTTCTTTTTTTTTTCTTTCTCTCCCTGCTCCCCGGCCCTAAAGATGGCTACCATTAGAGACATCATTTCTTTCTCGGATACAGACAGCGTCTTCCTTTGTAGGCCCTTTCTTATTAATTTGGGTATTTATAATAGTCAAAATGACTTATTAGCTCAAAGTTGTTCTTATGAAGATATTGGTGTTACTACATACAACATTCTTGTGTTTCTGCTTATTTCACTCTTCGTTATTTCACACAATCCTGTCCATGTTTTTCTAAAATCAACAAGCTCATCATTTCTTATACCACAGTAGTATGCCATCACAATCAAATACCATAACTTGTTCAGCCGTTCCTCATTTGATAGGCATACCCACTATTTCCAGTTCTTTGCTGCCACAAAGAGAGGGGCTATAAATATTTTAGAATATATAGGTTCTTTTCTTTTTTTTCCCTAATCATCTTTGGAAATAGATCCAGTAGTGGTGTTACTAGGTCAAGGGGTATGGGTAGTTTAATAACTCTTTGGGCAACTCAGATTGCTCTCCACAATGGTTGGATCAGTTCACAATTCCATCGATGAATTAGGGTCCCAGTTTTTCCACATCCCCTCCAACATTTGTTGCTTTCTCCTTCAATCATTTTAGCCAATTGATAGGTGTAAAATGATATCTCAAGGTTGTTTTAATTTGCATTTCTCAGATCAATAATGATTTAAGGCATTTTTTCATATGACTATAAATTATTTTGATTTCATCATCAGAAATGCCTGTTCGTATCCTTTGAACATTTATCAGTTGTTGAATGATTCATATTCTTATAGATTTGACAAAATTCTTTATATGAGATATGAGACTTTTATCTGAAGAATTGTTTATAAAGTTTCCCCCTGATTTTCTGCTGTCCTTCTGATCTTGGCTATATTGGTTTTATTTGTATAAAAAATTTTTAATGTAATTGAAATTATCCATTTTTTACCTCACTCTGCTCTTTATCTCTTGTTTATTCATACATTGTTTCCCTATCCATAAATCTGATAAATAATATGTTCTATGTTCTTTTAATTTTCTTGTAAAATCTCTCTTTATATCTAGGTCATGTATCTATTTTGACCTTACATTGGTAAATGATGTAAGATATTGCTTTATGCCTAATTTCTGCCATACTGCTTTACAGTTTTCCCAACAATTTTTTACCAAATAATAAATTCTTATTTCCAAAATTTGTCTTTACACTTGTCAAATACAAGGTTACTACATTTATTTGCTGCTGCAGTACGCTGTTCCATTGATGTGCCTTTCTAGTTCTTAGTCAGTACCAGATAGTTTTTTAAATTTTATTTTATTTTTAATTTATGGAATAAGACAAGCATTTCCCTAACATGGTATAATAATTAAAAAAAAAGATTGCACATGAAACTGCACATCTACTGTGTACAACTTGCTATTCCTTTTAAATATACAACAAAGTTATCATGTAAATTTCTTTTTTTTCTTTTCTTTTTCTTCCCTCTGTAAAGGTGACCATCATTAGTCACAAATGGGTGTATATGTGTGTGTGTGTGTATATAACATATATGTGTATGTATGTATACATACTAATATTTATTGTTTCTTTCTCTAGATGCAGATAGTGTCTTTCTTCATATGTCTTTTGTAGTTAATTAGGCATAGTAGTCAAAATAACTTATTCAAAGTTCTTAAAACAGTATCGCTGTTACTATATACAACATCCTCTTGGTTCTGCTCATTTTGTTCTTTGTTATTTCATGCAAGTCTTTCCATGTTTTTTCAGATCATTGAGCTCGTTATTTCTTATAGCACAGTAGTATTCCATCAGAAACACATACCTCAACTTCTTCAGCCATTCCCCAGTTGATGGGCATCCCTACAGTTTCCAATTCTTTGCCACTACAACGAGAGCTGCTCTAAACATTTTATAGATAATTTTGTACATATAAATCCTCTTCCTCATCTTTGATCACTTAGTAATGGTGTTGCTGGGTAAAAGGGTGTGCTTGGTATGATAGCCCACTCTACTACTTTTGATAGTATTTTTCTTCCTTTGGAATAAGCTAATAGACTTTTTCCTTGCCAAGGCTAACCTCTCTCTCCGCTTTTGCCCTTGATTATTTCTCTTATTTCCTAGAATCATATCCTATAAATGTTTTTTTTCTTTGTCATCTTCATTATCTACTTTGTTTACAATTATAATTTTCCTTCCATCCTTAAGAAAAGTTCTTTCCCTTGACTTCAGCTATCTCCTCAAACTGCTGTCTCTCCTCCTCTTCACTATTTAACCTCTAAAAAGAACAGTTTACACTCACAACTTACACTGCCTCACTTCCCATTCACCCCTCAACCCTTTGTATTTTGTCCTCTATCTCCATCACTGCATTGAAACTGCATGCTCCAGGATCACTAAATCAAATCCAATGTCCTTTTCTCAGGTGTTATTTTTCATAGTTGCATGTTTCTTGGTGGGTTGATATGTCCTTGCACTTAATGCAGTATTTGACACTATTGACTCTTTTTCTCCATACTTTCTCTTTCATGGGCTTCTTTGACATTCATTTCTTTGTTTTCCTCCTGTCTGTCAGCATGTTACTTTGGTAGTTCATCTTTCTTCTCCAGTACTCTTAGTATGGTTGTCACTTAACGCTTTTTTTGCACCCTTTTATCTACTTGCTTGTTATCTCTATGCTGGTAACTAGTAAACCTATCTAGTTTCAATTTCTCCCACATTTCCCCATGCCCACTTCACTCTCTACTTAGAAATATACTCTTTCACACTTAACCTATTTTAAACTGAGCTCCATCATCTAAGGCCTGCCCTTTTTCAAATTTCTCTTTTTATATTGATGACAGGTTGCACCATTCATCTTCTGGTTATGCAGGCCTAATACAGCAGAATCATCTTTGACTCTTCTCTCCCCCAGACTTTGTTCAGTCACTTACAAAATTCTCTCATTTCTTCCTCCTCAAAATCTCGCACATCCATCTCTTCCTCTCTGTTGAGTTTCATTAGCCTACTTCTGGTCCTCATTATTTTTTAAAGTATTATAAAAGCCTTTAAACTGATCTTCTTGTTTCCACATGTCTTCGTTCCCTGATCCAGGCTTCCAGATTATACACAGTTACACAGTTCCAACTAAATATATAGATATAGATATAGATATATAGATATCTTAAAAATAGTAAATAGCTTCCTATCATCTATTAGATTATAAGCTCCTTGACAGCAGGGACTGTCTTTTGCCTCTTTGTATCCCCAGTACTCTAGTGCCTGGCACATAGTATGTGTTTAATAAATGTTTATTGATTGATTATGTAAAATGAAATGCAAATCCCAAAAATAGTATTTAAGTTCTTAACAGCGTGGCTCCAATGTCAGTCTTATTTCACATCATATCTTTTTATGGGATCTCTGTTCCAATAAAGTATACCATTAGCTCTATTCTGATCTTATCCTTAGTGGCATTATATAGTCTGTCCTGGAATTCCCTTCCTTCAGATGTTCACCTGTTGACTTATTTTACTTCAAGGTTCAGCTCCTCCATGAAGCTTCCTCTAATTGTCCCAGCTAAAATGACCTCTTTAGATTTTATTGACATTTTCTTTGAATCTCTGCTTTGCTCTCATCATATTCTTCTTTGTATCATATTTATTTTTGTACATGCCTTATTCTGTAATATGTAGAGTGTAGACACCTTAAGGGTAGGATGATTTTCATTTTTATAGCATCTTAGCACCTAGCATAATGCTTTGCACATAGTTAATGCTTAGTAAAAATTTATTAGACTAAAACAAAAGCCTGGTAACATAAGGCAATTGCTACTACTACTACTACTACTACTACTACTACTACTACTACTACTACTACTACTACTACTACTACCACCACTACTACTACCACTACTACTGCTACCATCGTCACCAGCACCATTTTAGCCACATAATTGTAATATTGCCCATTTTTGTACACTGTTTCATCCCAGGATTCATGTCTCTGACAAGAAGCTCTAATTGTATGGATACAAAATTAGAATTGTGAAGCAGTAAACCATCAGTACTTGGGAAGTACAGAGGGCTTCAGAATAGAGACCTAACTTGAAGTCTAGGAATGTTCAAAGACTTCATGAAAATTGGATGAAACAACACATTGGAAAGTAGCAAATTGTAGAAAGAAGTGGCACATTTAAGTGACTAGTTAAGATACTTTAATATATTAATTTTCTTATAAGTTGTCGAAAAATGCCTCTAGGATGCAGTATGTTTTTAATAGTTGCTTTATTTTGTTTCTTAAACAGATGCAGTGTATGATTTTTCTTTCTCCGGTGAAGACCAGCTACTAGACCAGGTGGAGGGGCATTCTGTAGCGTGTAATGGACACTGCAAGTTCATGTTTTCATCAAGAGCTTTTTTGAGCTTCAAGTTTGACCACAATGCCATAATGAAGAACTTTGACCTTTGAGAGAAACAAAGAGATCTGTTGCCATTGAATGCTTGTCTCATTAAGCCTTACCTTTCTCAGGTGACCAAAAAAATACAGGGAGGCAATGGTGTTCCTGAAGAGATTATTCTCTTTGCAGAAGAATGGTGTAAAAATTACTTGCATTGTAAGTGCAGTAAGGCTTTTATCCATAAACTTACCTTTTCAGTGTTCAGCTCTCTAGCTCAGCATTGTGCTTTAGAGGGCATTCTTTCTGTGTGACTGAGTAGTTTTGTGTTCTGGGTTAAGAAATAGCATCAATATTTTACTCACATCTTAGAAAAGTTTTATGCATAGGCAGATGGCAGAATTGGAAAGGGAATACCCTCTTTTCTTTTTGGGGGGGATTAGATTGTGCTTAGTGATTACTGGTCTCTGGTCATGATTGGTAAAGCGATATCAAATTCAAGATCTCATCATCTGCTTTGGGGATATTTCATAAAACTTTTCTGCCTCCAAGTGCTTGGGTTGTTGAAAGCCTTAAAAAGGGTTTGTGTTGAAACATTATTGGAGTCTGATATCTATGCTTATAATGAACTCCTGACTCCTTTTTCTCAAATCTTTGTAATGCCATAGTTTGCACTTCTTTGAGATTTTATACTTAGAAAATATAAGTTGCAGAGTTCAGTCCAACTTTCTCTTTCTGTAAAGACAAATGATCTCCTTTTTCTCAAATCTTTGTAATGCCATAGTTTGCACTTCTTTAAGATTTTATACTTAGAAAATATAAGTTGCAGAGTTCAGTCCAGCTTTCTCTTTCTGTAAAGACAAATGATCTTTACAAAAGAGTAACTGAATTCGTGAAGGGTAGTAGAGCTAAAGAAGACTTAACTTCTATACTGCATGTAGCTGAGCCTTGTGAGGCTTGTGCAGTGAAAGTTGAAGGCCTTGGCACAGGTGCTGCTTTTGTCTCATCCTCATCTTAACTCTAACTTTTTATTCTAGTATTCCCTTTAGTTTTTTCTTTGCTATGATTTTTTTTCTAAAAGTTAATATGTATATGTACAAAACCAATATTATTGAATTTTATGTAAGTATTACATCTCAGGGTGGCTGTATGGAAATTGGCATTCCATTTTCTAATGGTAGTAAGTGTGCTCTAGAGTTATAAAATTAGGCATACTACAGCCCCTGAATAATAGAGGAGAGAGAGCATCTGTTTCACTTTGACTATATGTTTGATTAGGAAATAAAAAACTAATATTTTGTAATTTCATCTCATTCTTTTAGGAATATCTTGTCATTTCAGGATTATTGAATCACATCTAAGTACATAATACGCATTTTTATTGAATATTTGGCTTTAATTGAGGACAATCACCAGGGATGAAGGTGCTTTACTATTTTGTGTCTGACCTCAAATATGGCTTTTGTGTAAGAGGGTTGAAGGGAGGGGAGGGAATGATGGGGTGTATGAGTACACGTGTTCATTCGTGTCCTTGTATCGTTTTTAAAAACATTTTATATGTGGTATCCACAATCCCTACTGCCAAATCTTATCATAGGCACCCTTCATTCTGTATACCTAGACCATTTAAAAGGAATTCTCTTTAACTAGGTAGAGCTTAAGATAGGAGCTATTTCAGTAATCATGCATTGGCAATTAAATGGGAAATTTGTATTTATTGAGGAAAGTTTTTGACCTATTTGGTACTAGGCAGGTAGACATTCATTAGCATTAGTATATCTAGTATTAAGTCATCTACATGTCTGTATCTTTTAATGTGACAAACTTGTGAACTTCCACTTTGATAACTAGTTTTATTTTTTTTATGCTTTAGATGATGTGTTTGGAAACCTTTTCTGTAATTTTCTTAGAAATATTGCTTCTTTGCTTTGGTCTTCATGAGCCATATCACATAGTTAGTTATGTATGAGCAATAAGAGAATGAAATCTTGGTTTGCCCAGAAGACAAATCATTTTCGTGTTTTTCATTGTCCTTCAGAAGCCGTTTTGATTTTAAAAGTTTTTTAATGCCTTGGTCAGTTATTCCTGGTGCCAGTAATTGGATTTCCCCAATCACAATATTAAGGCAAAACAGATCAACAATTACCAGAAATGGATCCTCCTTTATTCACAGAGTTAGTAAACCTCTAATACCATAGTTTTAATTCCAGTTAAGTAGTATTGCTTTTGTGCTACTTTGTTTTAATGTATCATGGAACATAATAAAGGTGGTATAATTAGAGTGGGATTATGTTCATTTTAGTCTTGTAGCTTTCACTAGACAGTTTGGGATTAAACATATGTAAATTAAAACTATGAGTTGAAGCTTAGCTGAAGTGAAATAACTATGCAGAATGTGTCTGAGCTGGGTATACACCAGACAGCACTTTCCCTACTTCCTTGCACTCTAAGTTTACCAGTTTTTCAGAGATGAGAATACCCTGGGAAAGGCCAAACTTAGCACAGAAACTGTATTCTACCTTGATTTGGAGGAAAATCCAGTAAGTGACTTCTTTGCAGTGTGTTGCATTTCAGGAAGTTAGTTGAAAAATGCTCAGTTGTTGGCTTCATTTTTTAAAATGCCTCTGTGAGAGGACTTCTCTTAGTTCACTTTTTGAATGTTAAATAAAGTCAGCCTTATGTGTTCTGAGATACAGTGCACTGAGAATATTTTGCATTTTTAAAAAATTGTTTTGTAGGTGCTTTTAATGTGTAACTTTTATGATTTGAAGATGCTAGATGAAGTATTTTATATTTAACCAGCAGTTTCCAAAAGGCAGAAGTACCATTTACATGCTTTTCTACAAGTCTATGTGAAGACATAGCAGCTGAGTGATTTCTCAAATGATGACACATTTCTGTGAGAGATGGGCATTTGAACAGGTGTGAGTGTCTAATAGAACTAACTGTGAATAGGTGGGTCCCTTGAGAGTTTGAAGTTTCTGAAAACTAAGGGAATTGAATTTTTAAAAAAATTTAAATACTTGCGCTTTCTTCTGTATTAACAAATGAATTATGATCACTTCCTTATCTAAGCCTTTGCAAATAAAGGCTTTTATTTTTCTAGTAAATAACAACAGATAAGTAGTTGATTTCAAATTATGAGAATCTGTAGCAGAAGTCATACTATTTGACAGCATTGGTAGAGCATTTTAAAAAAAGATTTCAGCAATTTATAAGTTTGAATATAGGTACCTGCAATCACTTAAGATTAATGAGTCCTATTTAATTCAGTATATTGTGGTTTGAACAGTTTCTTGAAGAGTCCTAGGCTTCAATGTAGTATATGCTAAAAACATTTTATCTTCTCCTTCTCTCCCTTGCCTTCCAATAAACAGACCCAACTCAATCCCAGACTAACTAGCTTCATTATTGTTAATAAGTACTGCTTACTTAGCTTTTATATTATCACTATATAGTATGAATTTGAATTTGGAAAGTATGGCTGGCAGCTATCATGGGTTTAAATGTGTAAGGTGGGAAGGCCTGACTTGATAGACTAGGTTTTGTAGAAGAAATAGGTTGCTTTAGGGCATTAAGAAAGGAATTTCAGGAGGCACATTTATTTTTATAGCCATTATGGTGGGTACCTCCACAATGGGAAGCATTAGTGCCTATAAGTCCCTTTTAAAGCTAGATGATAGTTTATTCCCCCTTTAAGTACTAGCCCAGTAAATGTAATGGTAAAACATATGGCCAATACCCAGGTTTCTTCAGCTCTGAATAAAATTAATTACTGTTAACTATGGTTGCCATGTAATTCAGTCTCCAAGTGAATCCAGTGGAAGGTAACTTTTTTTTCTTTTAAAGACCATCACAGTGTTTGGGACTTAGTTCTTTTCTGTGCTGTTATTAGACCATTTGAGCCACACTGAAATACTAGAATTAAAATTAAGGTGAGCTTTTAATTATTGTGTTATCCTTCATAAAGGAAAATGATGATGGGTGCTTTGAGTTATTTTTATAGTGATAGTAATGGATTTGTGCCGAACTCTCTACTCCCTTTCATTCATTTTCCCTTTCAACATGTGGCATTTGTGAAATAACAGCCTGTAGGATTCCTATTTGTGATCTTGATTTTAGTCATAGCTTTTGTAACAGTGAAAGCCACATTTAGTCTTTTAATATGCTGCTGTTTTTTGTGTCTAACATGCCATATCCACTCTGTTGGACACATTTAGAGTTGTTTTTCTGGTGGTGGTGATTCCTTTGTACTAATGTGCTCACAAACACTATATTCCCCTTTGGAATCAATTTTATGATTTTTAAGAAATGATTAAAGGGTTAGAAGTGTTGTTAGTGGGCACTGAGTAGGGCAAAGCTACCTGGCCCACATGGGAATTCAGCTTATCCTGGCTTCACTCGAGTTGGTTGGAATTTTATAATCTATATAAACATGAGTAAGAAAATATTGGGATAATGTTGAGACTTACCTCTAAAAGTCAACACTTGTAGCAGTTACATTGCAAGGTCCTTACTCTGCACATCACAAAGAGAAGCTTCTAGAATTAAGAAAATGACTAGGGATTAAAGGATACGCTGCTTTCTTATATCTTTTACGGTTAGCTCAGTGGTTGAGCCTCTAATTTAGGTAGCATTGTGGAAAAAAAAATATATGTAAGGCTGGCTGGTGGGGAAAAGTATTTTAACAGCTGATAGCACCTTAGGTTACTTTGTTCTGTGGGAGAATTAAGCCTTGAATGTATATACATATAGTTTTTTTTTAAGGTGGGTAGAGGTAAAAGGAGCTCAGGAGAAGGTTCTTATGTTATTTTGATAAACCACTTGTTCAGTGGCAAGGAACAGGTGAGGGAACACTGTTTCCCAGTCATTTGTTTGTGGACCTGCGATACCACCTCCACCTTTAGATTAAATAAACATAGTATTGATCATTCTCCTGGAAGAACAAGATGGAAGCCACAAATTTCTAGCCATAAGGATTAATGGATCCTTTTAAATTCAGTATGTTGTGATTTGAAGTCTCTAGAAGAGCTTTAGTGTAAGTGTACATTAAGAACATTTTATCATCTTCCTTCTTCACTCTCATCCCCTAACCCCAACAAACAAAATACAACACAAATCAAACTTGAGTGGTATAGAGAAGCGGGTTGTGGAATGTTGTATTATCTTTTCTTCTCCATAACATTCTCTTCACTTTAGTCTTCTCTTCATGTGTTTGTAGCATACCTGCAGGGAATTAACCACTCCACCTTGCGCGAAATGTACTCATGTATATCCCTTACAAGGAGGAAAGACCTGTTGGCCTCTGAAAGCAGGTAGTTTGGTGGAGAAGTCACCCTGCACTATTGAGTGTTGCAAAGCACATGGAGATCAAACTGGTTTATTTGGGGGGTGTACTAGTGGGGGAAATCTCAAAATTTCGAGGTGGGCAGCCTAATTCTCTTTCCCAGTGGTCAGATCCTTGGCTATATTTTGTGTATCCAGAACTGAAAAATGTTAAAATCTCTTCTTTTCAGAAAATCTAGGTAACATTTCCCAAATTCTGGGGTAGTATATTTATAGTATAGAAGAATTTAATATTTTATTAAATTTTTTTTAAGCATTGTACATATTAGGCTCTAAAGGCTCTAACAACAGTAAACTACAGTGTAAAAACTCAGTGCACACCTGTCTACACTGCTATTCATTCCTTATGCTTGGAAAAAGCAGGTGTCAAACTTGCTGAATAATGGATCATACTCTTCTAGTAGTGTCAAACTTGCTGAATAATGGATCATACTCTTCTAGTAGCACCCAACTTTTATGGTGCTTACACAGAATTCAATGACAGAGAGCAGTATCAGGGTTCATACGTGAAAATGAAATTTAGAAAACTAACTACTGCCAAATTTGGTCTCTTTGTGTATGACACTTTTAGAGCATGTGAATAGCAGCTGGTATTTATCTATACAGTTCATGTACTGTCTATATGCACTGATGGGAAAACCACAAAAGACATGCTTATAGTTCCTTTTTGTGCATTCTGCTACTGCTTAAGCATGTTGTGGTTTTGATGAGCCCACTGAAAACAATATACTGTTGCCTCTCTAGCATTTATTTTATGCTTATCATCTGTATCATGAAAAAATAAGCCTCTTATTGCATACATGTTCAGAGAACAGAGTTTTGCATTTAATGTTTTGCTGACATTTAGATTAAAATCCGGAAGAAAACAAATAAGAGGGACCTCTGTGTGCCAGCTCTCCAAAACTGTGAAAGTCTTTTTAAAATATATATATATTTTAATGCCATATTTGTTTGACTCAAAGAATAGTAACTAATAATGGAAGGAAAATGTGCAAAAAAAAAATTAGACTATGTGATTCTGTTGTAAAGGATATAGTTTATAAGTTTAAGAAAACTGATGTCAGTTTTATGAAGTGTAGGCTCAGTCTGGATCCCACCTATAAAACGTAACAAGGAGTACCACCATTCAAGCATCTATGAAATGCAAATAGAACTTTTACTTCATCACTAAAGATAAATAAAGGTAAGCTGGTCTTAAAACCAATCAAAGGTTACTTAAATGGAACCCTAATTAATTTTTTTCTGTTCTCTTATTTTTAGACATTGGGATAAATCATTTTTGAAGGGGGCAAATGAAGATCTTTTATGATCAGTGGAAGTTCTTTTCATCTCTAAAACAAACTAAAGTTGCAGGTTTAGTTTAGAGGGAGAAATTAATAAAATTGGAATGCTGTGGCAATGTGGTAACCTATTCATGGAAAAACAATTTTTTTTCTCTATTCCCCAAGAATATGAGAATAGATCAGTCTGCATTTTTTTTAAAAAGGGGCTCCTGTAGTTTTAGAAAATTGAAAGTGTTGAAGTTGAACTGTGTTCAATGAAACATTTCGTTTAGAAACCTATAAATGACAACAGAAAGAAAATGTATCTAGTGATTAAACAGTTAATAAATGGAGTCTCACTAGTAAGCATATATACAATCAACAGGGAAGTAAACTGGATCTTTTAAAGGAAGAGTAAGGCAAGTTTATAAACTTCATTCTTTTCCAATAACAATTTGGCTTATACTAAATTATTTTGCATTTATTTTCTAATTAAATTGTATCAGTGGGTTTTTTGTTTTGTTTTTGTTTTTTTACCACTTTTTAGGTGAGATCTTTGGAGGAGGGGTATATGAAACAGAATATTTAAATGACTCTCTCTAGAACAGTAATCAAATTCTTCTATATGATTTTTTTTTGTTACTAGAGGTATATTGACCCACCAACACACAGACACCAGAAAAGGAACTAGTGAAACCAGTCAGTTTCAACTTAGAGAGAGGCTGAGTACTGACTGGAAAGTTTTGTTGTTACATTTAATCCTTATAAGTGATTAAGCCAAGATCTTATGATTGAATTGTACCTGTGAGGTTTCTCATTTACCTAAATCTTAATGAAATTTGGTTGCTCTGTGGGAAAGAGACTCATTGTTGCTTAAATGTATTGAGTAGAAATCTCTCAAAGATTTGTAAGGAATCGTGTTAATGAAACAAGGATATTTAACAATATGAGATTTATTAGAGTCCTAAAAACTACTCCATACCATTCATCTCAACAAATTTAGCAAAAGCATGTATTAAATTAGTGTATCCTGATTATTTCCTAAGTGTTTTCTTATGTAAATAGCACCAATTCAGAATTAAAACATATTTTCCTATTTTGTTTAATGTTTAGTCATGGATTTTTTTTATTTTAAAACATTTTTTACTGCTGAGTATTCAAGTATTACTTTTTTTCTGTATAATCATTACTGTGTTAACTTGGAAAGAACGGATTACTGTTTGCAGCATGATACATTAATAAAGTTTTTAGCTTTGGCAATTTGATACTTTGATGTTTTCTTCTTTTACTAACCTGTTTCAAAGGCCAGAGGAACCATTACATGTGCTAGAAGCTAGATGAAAGTTTGCTATGTAAGATTTTAACTGTCCATCACTTAATGGGAAGCTACTCATTAATTTTTTAAATTTATTATTTATTTTAAACATTCTTTTCTTTTTAAATTTTGAGTTTCAACTTCTTTCCTTCCCTTCTACTCTTCTCCCTACCCACTGAGAAGACAAGCAATATGATATCAATTGTGCATGCACTCAGTTTTCTATGACAGGACCCTTGAAACAGATATGTTTTGTTAAGTGAAATTAGGGTCTATCCATGTAGTGTGTGAGGGAAAATCTTGATATGTTTTAGTATTTGCCAGCTCTGTGTTATTACCCATGTAACTAATAATCCAGAAGTGGGATGGCACTGTATTGGAAGCAAATGGGTTGCCCTTCCTTGAAGCTATTTGAGCAGAGGTGGAATGACCACCATAAATAGTGTGCTGTAATGGGGATTCTTTTTCTGTTATGGTTTGGAGCAGGTGTCTACTGAGTTCCTAATTGAAATTCTCCAATATTATTAAGAATTGCAATTGCTAAGATGCAACATTTTTAGTGAAAAGAATCTTTAAGCAAGTGAGTGAAAGAGCAGTTGCCTAAATTGAGGCATTGTGTTCAGAGGTCACTTTGTAAAAAGAGGCAGAACAAGGCCACGTATAAACATTCCACAGAGTTGTTGTGCCTAGTTGTTCCTTTCACAGTTTTCATGGTGTACTTCTTTGGAGCTGGGAGAGAAGAGCCCTTTACTTCCTTTGCAACCTCAGTTTCTCCTATGCAGACAGCAAAAACTTTATTCCTTTCTGATTTTTGAGGCAACACAAGTCCTGCAGAACTGAGACTGTGTCATAGCCGTTGTGTGTCCAGCGCTGGTTAAATACAAAAGTACTGAGAAAACATAAAAATTACATTGAGGAGCTTATTTTTCCTATTTGTGAGCTGCTAGCTGGTCATGGACCTGACACTTAGAATTTTGTGAGGCATGTAAATTAACATAATTCCTCAAGATGTTCAGAGAAACACTGGCAAGTATAAATCTCACTTCAAAAAAAAAACACAAAACAAATTTGTCATCAAAGGCAGCTTGATTTGGACATTGGAAAGATTAATGGATAACATTTAGAAGATAATTATTTGGTCCTTGTAATACTGCATTGATAGTGTAATATCTTTTCTCTAAATGCACTTTGTACAGTTCTCATTATGAGAAGCTCGGCCAGTGTTTGCACGTTCTCTGTGGTCCAATGGATAACATGTAGGTAAGTCTTCCTTCCCTAATAATTTCCAGTTATGAAAGGCTGTACTGACTTCCCTGTTTCCATGGCAAAGAAAAATAAGTTTTATAGCCATTGGTTTCCTACTTCTGTCAAATTCCAATAAAACAAGAGTAATATTTTGCTTGGCAGGAGTTAGATGTTCTATATGTGCTACAAAATATTGTTCTTGTTTTGATATATATTGTACGCTTGTCCTCTAGTGAGAGCATTCCTTTTACAACTAATGCTGGTATTTGACATTAGTGTGTAAAACATACCACATTGATTAAATTGTCTACAACTTTTGATTTTACTTTCCTAGGATCTGTTCTTCAATTATGTATACCTAAATTGTTTTAGACAGAATGAATATTTGACAAATCACATCATGGCATTAGAAATATTTATTCAGAATATAAGAACATTTGTAAAATAAGTATTATAAATGTCTCTGTATAAATAAATGCAGATTGGTTTTTTTTTTACAATTCTATATTAACACAATAGCTATTATACAGCAGCTAAAACTAAAGGTAACTGGAAACACTTAAAACATACAGGTGAAGAATCAAAAATTACAAGGTATAGTACAGTGTAAAGTGACAACTTGTAAATGAAACACTTAATACAACTGAACAATACTGACAAATCCAAACAGTCACATGTGCTTTAATCATAGACAATACATTCAAGCTGGTGTAAATTTTCTAACAATTCTAATTTGAGTGATATAAAAGTAGAACATTTTTAAAAAAAAAATAACAGGAAAACTAAGCTTTCATGCAAAGCAAATAAGATACAAACATTTTAAAGTTTTATTAGGAATAGATAAGTGAATTAGTTTTATTGACTGTATTAGTAAGATTGATAAGAGGTTTTGCTTTGTGAGTCACAGTGAAAATTAAATGAATTTTATATATTCCAGCTAACAGCACATATTACAACCAGTTGCTGCCACTGTAGCAACTCTAGATTTGTCTACATGCACTCCAGTTAATACTCAGAGGAGTTACAGACCTATAGCTTATTCTGTTCTGCTGAGCTGCTATTTTAAGATGACTGGGTTATTCATGGTAACAAAGGCCCTTGTTAATGTTTGCCAAATGCATTAAGTTGTTTTCATTGGTAAGAGAATGGCACATCCCCAACTGATGGCCAAGTTTCATTACTTTACTTTCAGGTTATAAAATCTCTCTATTTCACAACCATTAACTTATATATATTTAATCCAGAGGGTCAGTTTACTTACTCAGCATACCTGCACGTAGGAGCATTTATTTTATATATGTATAAATGTTCCTAGACCCTGTAACAAAAGGGTGAATTTAACAAACAACACAAGGAAGTCTAAATAGTAGTTTTTCTAAAATTGTCAGTTAAATGTAGAGATTGATATTTGTGGTATTAAACATAAATAATTATAGAATAAAGTTGCTGTAAATTAATTTAAGGCTTAATATATAGGGAGAACACTTTACACTTTAAGTTGACTTGTCAGCATACAGGTGTACTTTAAGAAAAGAAATACTTTTAAAAGTAAGTCACCAGGTATACTTTTATAAAGACATTTTTGGCAATAAACACTTCTCTTTATTTCATAGCAAAAACCCCCCTAAACAATGGCTAACTCCTGGAATTATTAGATAATATTTGCAAATCTCAGCGTAAAGTGTCAGTCAGTTCCTTTCTTAATTGATGTGTGTAAATGAATTTTTTTTGTAGGTTCCACAGAGTAAAAAAAGGGAAAAAAAGGTTACTGTGTAAAGGAATCATCTTTTCCAGCATTGCTACCTGAGAAAATCATAAAAACATTATTTATGTGTCCCTGTGAAGTTTGAAAACTTTCACCTACCCAAAACATTCCCCCCTCCCTCCCTCCCTTAAGAAAAAGAATTAACTCGGTAATTAAGTAACTCTGTAAAAACAAAAGGTAACCCAGTTACTGTGGCAAGGATGAACCAGAAGGAATTTAGGAAGAATTATAAGACAATTTTTTTTATCCTTCAGGGAATTACTGTAAGTAAGGTATTGTAAAACAGCTCCTAGGATATGGGGCTACACTGAAGTATGCTTCCTAAAAAATATGTGGGACAATTTTTTTATTTAGGAAAAGCCGTTCACCTGGCTGCAGCCAGGAAAATCAGGATAGTTTCAAACAGTTCCAGGTTTGCTTGTTTTAAAAATATTTTCCGTATTCCCTTACAGCTTTGGAGAAAGGGGGACTCTAAATTGAGGTTGAGTTTCTTGGCTCTCACCAGAGAGTCCTTTTCACTAAGCTCTCTATAAGCCCAGGTTATGGACATACACAGGGTATGTGAAAGAAGAATTAAACCAGCATATTCAATTGGCCCCAAATTTGATGCAGAACAGATGAGTTAGTTAACTGGTATTATTGTCTACCACCAAACGTGCAGCAAAGAGCTAGAGTCTGGCACCTAACAATTTAGGCACATGAATACTGGTAAAAGATTTGTAAATACATACCTTTTTATGTAAATCTTTTGTTCCTTGAAAGGCTCTTTTATTAGAATACATGCCGCTTTAAGGGGACAGGAAGTATTAAAGGTTATTAAAATCTAGTATACTTAAGGTCTTAATAGTACATCAAAAACCAATCCAAGGGTATAGAATCAGACTCTTGTGTTGATCTATTCTTTACAGTTTTGTTTGTTTTTTCAAAGAGGACAAATAAAATTAGGCATCTCTTCTCTTAACCATTCCAGTTTCTATAAAAGGCTAGTCTAGGGAAAAAAACAATTACAGCTTGAGGATTATTAACTTTAGAGTCAAAGGAAAGATCTTTTCTTGATGTACTTTTTTGCCTCTGGGTTCCCAGGCAGCTAAGACTGGGGCTGGTCTGCAGTGATATAGTGAAATCCCTGGGCTGGTGTCTCCCCACCACACTCCCCTCCCTTTCAACACCCTCTTTACCCATCACTAGACAAGAATGAAAAAGGTATCTGACTATATTCAATGTCTCTAGCCCACGGAAACATTTGTTATAGCAATGCCCTAACAAAGTAAGAAATATGCTTCCCCACCTCACCCTGGTGAAAATAGTAAAGGAGGGGGCAGGGCAGCTTACTTTAAACATAAGGGGAATAAAATCAGGGAGGAAAAAAAAACCAAACCATGTATTTTATTTTGTTTTTGGAGGGTGAGGAGAGGCTCTAAAGTTTTATACACCTTGATAACAGTAAATTAGAACTATAATAATGACACAATGCTTATCTGACAGATATTAGTTTGGAACCTGGAAAAACAGAAATAAAGGATTCCTGGTCAAATAACTGTCACAAAATCCTATAACTGGAAGGTACCATAGACTTTTGTCACTATCCTATTGTTTATACCCTACCCAAACCAGAGATAATCAGTTAAAACATAATGTTATGCTTAATTTAAAAAAAATTAAAGTGGACCTAATTTATTATACAAGACTTTAGCACCAATTTTCATGAATATTTGGAATCAGTGTTTGAGTAAATGTAACCATGAAAGAGGCACCATGGCATGGGCAGGCTTTGAGGCAGGAAGAGGTGGGTTCCATTCCTGCCTCTGACACCTATTGGCTATGTCTGAATGTGGGCAAATAAGTCATCCTTTTCATGCCCCAGACACTGACTAAGATGCAGACAGAGGAGTTGCTGGTCTATATCAATGAAGCAACTTTTCACAGAACTGAAAGCACAAGTCTGGACCACTCCCCGAAATTAAAAAAATGAAAATAAAATAAAAAAATATATTTTAAATGAACTGTCAAAAGTTCTAGCTTTGGCTGGAGATTACTCTTTTCAAGTATTGGGAAAGAAAAATTATCCCTTTTGTGCCATACTTCCTTAGACAACTGTGAAAGCAACACTATTCCATTTTTCCCTGGAAGTTTCTCACCCAATATATTAAGTGGTATGTTTATAGTGTATATTTACAAAGGGGCAGTTAAAATGCTGGGCCTGATGTAAGTCAGGAAAACCTGAGTTCAAATCTAGCCTCAGACATTTTCTAACTATTTGATCTGGGTAATTAATATAATTTCTGTTTGCCTCAGTTTCCATCTACACAGCTATTGTGAGGATAAAATATTAATAAAGCACTTTGTAAAACTTTAAAGCACCATATGAATGCTAGCTATTATTATTAATAAGAATAGGAAGGGACTGTTAATGTTGGCTTGCATTACCGACTGAGTAATCAACTAGTAGTTTTTTGGGGGAACAGATGGCACAGTGTGGTCAATAACTTCAGTACTTTGTGATGTAGTAGAAAAAAGCAAGAGACATGTGTTTAAGGCCTGGCTTTGCTACTTACCTTAAGCAAGCCATTTTACTTGCATTTCCCCACAAAAATAAGACACTTGGCCCAGAGATCTCTGAGGTGCTTTCTAGCTCTGATAGTCTTGTGAGACTGAGGCTTCTAGTTCTTATTTTTGTAGAGAAACCAAGAGCTGGTCCCTCCCTGTTTTTGATCTTAGACACAAGCTCATGGGCACAGTTTCCCTTTAAATAAAACAAATACATTTCTTATTTTTATACATTTCCTATTTCCTGGAAGTTCCCTGAGGGCATAGGCTGTCTTGTTTCATTCTGTTCGGTCCCTAGCAGTTAGTATAATGCAGCCAAGTGAATATTTGTTCAATTGAACTCTTCCTCTATAGCTAGAATCCTCAACCTTTTTCATTCAGTATAAATCCTGTATTTTTTCATAGCAGGATGAACTACAGACCAATTTCAGCTTCTGCTCCCTACCTAATCATTCACTATTTACATGTACTTCAGTTTATACCGAGCTGTGATAGTACAAAAAACTTCATAAATAGCTTTGGATGGAATCTCATATGTTGCCATTACAGGATTAGCTATTGGCTAATTTGAGATTGGGCCTTTAAAAATCACTATATCCCAGACACAAGTTAAATTTGAAAATGTCAGTGAAGGAGAGCTAATCAGAAGAAATGAGATTAAGATGGTAGAAAGGTTAAGAATTCAAAACATTTATTAAGCATCTACTGTATGTGAGATGGGAGTAGAAAACTCTCAATAGTAAAAACAAAAAATAATTCCAAATTTAACCTAAGAGAAAACCTCCTAAGAAGTTTTGCAACCTAAAGGGATGCAACTGTGCATCCCTTTTAGCCTCATAATCTCTTCATCTGAGCCCTTCCTACCTGTTCTAGTCACTGTGTGCTAATCTCCACTTTCCCTGACTGAAGAGACCACAAGCCATGCTCTTGCTCACAAGTATAATGGGAAAATATGGAGAAAAGTGCCTTGGATTTGGGGATTCCACCTTCTATATCAAAAACTGCCTCCTTTAGCACAGCTTTGCCAAAATGTATTTAATCCAACACATACCCAGAGCTATGGGTATATATATTTAATGTTTTGGGAAAGTGCAGAGATGTCTTTTTTGAGGAATCCACAAAAATACAACATTTTGCTTACACTGTAGTGTCCAAGAGTAACCTACTTAATACATTTTTTTTTTTTGGTGGGAAGGAGGGGTGAGGTGAGAGTTCAAATCCCAAATTCACAAAGGCAGGTTTCACATAGGCCTCCCTTCTCAACTCCAGGGACTAGCAGGACAGATGTTAAATTTCTATTGTTTCCAGATTATATTGTTCCAGTAAAGGACCTGGCCTTGTTGTTTGTGACTGACACACATTCTGAATGACATGAGACATGTCGACAACTCTTTCTGCTTCAGAAATATGAAAGGCCACTTAGGTGAGACCCTCTGGAGTTGCAAAATAAATTTCAAATATGAAGGACAGCCAGAGAACTGCAGCCTTCATCTCAATAAGCACCACTTAGGCACCTGAGACCATAACATACACTTGCCCCATATTATGTCAGGACTTAACCTCTAGTTAGGTGGAAAGCTAAAGGAACTGGAGTTGCCAGGGGGAAAAAAAGTGGGCCCACTGCCTGGGCAAAAAAAGGGAAAACACTGAAATTACTGAAAACCAAATAACTCAGTTTATATAGTATCTCCAAGACTGCAAAAGGTATTTTTGTTTGTTTGTTTTTGCCGGTGGGTGGGGTGGGAGTGATGAGAGGGAAAGCTGAAAACCAATCTGTCAGAATCAATCATCTGTGAAGTATGTAGGCCAGGGTACCCTGAACATAAGAAACATGTTATTTATCATTGACAGTTTCTCCTTTGGACCTTGGTGTGAGGTGCATTCTCTTTAAGCACAGTACATATGTGGCCAACCACCATTGTCTCTTGGGAAGCTCTCCAAGAGGACCTGACAAGACCATGCCCTTGGGTAGAGGTCAACTTGACAGATACTGCCCCTACCTGCCAGCCTTCTTTTGGTACATCCCGGCAGGTACGTTTAACTCTCCTGGTCCTTCTTTCCAGATTAGCTTCTGTGGGCAGAATTTTGGTGCCTGAAAGTCTTTTAAAGTGAGGTCTCATTGGTGTGGGGCCTTGAGTTTTCTTCCTCCAGCAGAGCTATTCTCTGCTTGAGCATCCTCACTTGGGTTTCATGTCTCTCCACCATGGCCATCATCTGAGACTCCAGCTTCTTCAGTTTATTTTGGTGCTTCTTCTTTGCTTTCTCATATGCAGCCACCAGGTTACTATGGAGGAATGAAAAGAAGTTGGTATGAAGACCACCTAGCTAAAAGTGGCATTGGGTGAGGTAAGTTAGAAGTGAATAATTAGCCTAGGGCAACAGACCTGAAAGAAAGCAGGCCAGAGGGGCTAGGAAAGGGACTGGACCTGTGGTTTCATTGCTATAGGAAACTCTCCTCACCAATGCAGGTAGCAGCGTCCACTTCTGCAACTTAAAGTCTTAGAGGGCTACCTACAGCACTGAGAGGTTAAATGATTTGTTCAGAGTCACACAGGTAACGTGTAGCAGAGGCAGGATTTGAATAATGTCTTCCTGGCTCTGACACCAGCTTCTATCCACTAACCCTGCTTGTCCATCTGTAGGGCAGGTTAAAGAGAATCTAACTGAACTGCTCTAAAAGACCCATATCAAATCAGTATGGAAAAAAGAAACAATGATTAAAAATGACCAATTAAAAGTATATACAAAAATACATGGGTATCTACATTATCTATCCACAGAGATAATTCTCCATCTATGTCTTGATGCTCCCTATGAGCAACACAAGTTTGATCTTCCCTTACCAGATAATATTCAGAAATATGGCATGTGGATTTTTATAATTAAAATCCTATTCTCCATCATTCCATCATTTCAGATACTCCAGTAGTGGTGCAAGTGATACTAGCAATCTAAAGTGACAGAAGAGACCAAGACAGTTATGGAAAGATGAAAAGATGGCAAAATTAGAAATTGGGGGTGGGGGTGGGGGTGGGGTAGAGATAGAGCTACCTTTTTTTCTCCCCCCTTAATGATTCATAGTAGGCTGCTCCAGGAAAACATAGATGGAAACAAAAGATTGTTCCCAGAAAAGTTATAGTTGGTTCACTTAACAAAACAGGCTCACTCCTGGTCTGGAAGGAGATAGGATCTAATATCCATATTATGGATCTAGTGACAGAAAGGACCTTAGAGGTCATTTAGTCATTTTACAGATGAGTAAACAGGCCACAGAGGTGAAATGATTTGCCCAAAGTCACAGAAGGTAGTAAGTAGCAGGGCTGGGATTGAAACTCAGTCCTTCTGGTTTCCATGTTTGGTTTTCCTTCTACCATACCCTGCCTCCTAGGATTTGTACACAAGTTATCCTTTTTTTTTTTTTTACTGTAAAACTGAAAGCGGTTCTTGAATGTAGACCACTTAGATAGACACTGAATGTAGACCACTTAGATAGACACTAAAGGCTACAAAACATGGAATGAGCATTCTGGGTCCAACCTCACCTTTGGAACATTTGCTATCAGCTAACCCCTGAGGGTAAAAAGGCATAGAAAACCCCTTCAAAGGAAGAGGCATGTCCATGTGAGTGGAGGGTCTAGATCTTGGAGCAGCATCTACTAAACCAGCCTCCTGGGATAAGACAATGTTTTATATGATTTCATACAATACTTTATATATTGACCTAAGTGAAAATACAGGAAGGAGTACACTCGGCAGCCTGCAAGATAGGAAATTAAACTGAGGTTTTGTGAGTTTTTACCTGTTAGCTCTTTTCAGATCATTAACAAACTCAGCAGACTGCTGGTGTCGGATTTCACTGCTCTTCGTCAGTCTTTCCAAGGCGCTCACCAGCTCCTGCACTCTGGCTTTCAGTTTCTTCTCCCTGTGTCAGAGGAAGAGGTATTAAGGCACCTGATGATGGTGAGTGTGATTACTATACGAGCATCAGAAGCACAGACTAAGGTAGGGGATACAGTTCACCTGTGAGGGCATGTAATAATGATGTCCCCTCCTCCCCAGAATATTTTCATGCTTTACTACCTGTTTCTATTTCAGACAAGAGTCACAGAAATGAGCAGGAATAACAGTGGCTTTGGCTTAGGCAAACAAGGCACGCCTGTTTGTTAGGCATCTCCCATGAAACTACACGATAGGCTCTCCTGGTTATTGGCCCAGCTGACTGTATAATGAAAAGAAGACTCAACAGTGTTTTGAGAATCACCAGAAAGGGCAAGATGGTCTACACCAGAAATGTAGTTCATCTTCTAGAGACTGAATCTATTTTTACCCAGTAATTACTAAAAAGGGAAGGCCAACTAATCTCCACTGTCAGCTCTGCACTAAACCTAGTTTATGGGAAATAACAGATGTGGCATTAGTCTCCAAAAGAGAGGAATATGGAACAACTGTGGATGTCACGTGCAAAAGGGAAAAGAGATGGCAAAAACAGGTTTGCAAAGTGCTTTCCACACATTTTATATGCTCCTTACAGCAACTTTGTGAATTAAATATCAGAGGTATTATTCTCATTTTTATAGATAAGGAAGCCAAGGCTCAAAGAGGTTAAATTACTTGCTCGTGCTAATACATGTGGTAGTTGCAAGATTCAACACTGGCACTTCCCAGCAAACTACCACCACAGTCTATCTCCTTTTTCCTCATGTTGACCCCTTGTTGAACCAGCTCAACTCTGCGCTGTCCTCCTCTCTTGAATCCCTAACCTCTTTCTCATTTCACTGGTTACGCCTAGGCAAGCCTCAGCCTTGGATCACTCCCACAATTTGTCACCTTCGCTCCTACACATGTGCTGCTAAACCAAGTTGGAGAAAATCACACAACTGTTCTGACTTGGTCCACTGCAAATTTATGTTACAGGACCCTAACTAGGCCCTCACTGCTTCAAGGCATTCTTTCCACAGTGACTCTTTCAAACTTTTTCATTCTTTCTCAAACCTCCGATACAGGCAACTAGGAAGTGCAATGGATAGAGTGCTGGGCCTGGAATCAACAAGACTCATCTTCCTGAATTCAAATTTGGCTCAAGACACTCACTAGCTGCGTGATCCTGGACGAGTCACTTAACTCTGTTTGCCTTAGTTTACTCATCTGTAAAATAAACTAGAGAAGGAAATGACAAACCACTCCAGTATCTTTGCTAAGGTTTTCTTAGCAAAGATGGGGTCACAAAGAGTTGAATAAAACTAAAAATAACATAGTGATGTTATTTTGAGCATGAAGGACAACAGCATCTTTGAATTAAATATCACTTTGTATGAGCTAATCCAATTTTAAGTGGTTAAACTGGAGGGTTAGCCTCTGATCCCCCTAAAATAAAGGGAATACAGCTTCAGGAGGCTTGAGCTTATGACAGAGGAAAGAGATCTCTTCAACACTTTAAGAGTGCTGGAGAATTTTGTAACAGGTCTGGCCCTGAGAGAATGAGACTATATGAAACAGTTACAAAAGGAAAGAGATTATAGTTTGTAAATGAGGAATCAGTAAATCTGAATTTAAAATTTTTTAATTTTTAATTTTAATTTTAAATTTTAAAAAATTAGTAAATTCAATTCCTGGGAAAATTTCAGAATAGATCATCAGAGAGATAATGAATGTCTATAAAAGAAAAGGTTATTATAAAGAGCCAGCATAACTTCACCAAGATTGAAGTAGCAGGTACAGGCTTGATGATGACAGTGATAGTGCTTTATTTATATAGAGGTTTAAAGTTTGCAAAGTGCTTTACAAATATTATCTCATATTGTCCTTACAACAACCCTTGAGATAGGTGTTACTATCTACCTGTCTACTTTACATACTAACATGTTAAAGGACATTTCCAGGGTGAATCAATTATGTAACCCTTTGCTCTTGGAATTAAATCTGCTCTGGGAAGCTCATCAGAACCATCTCGAAACTTTGCAGTCTGCCCTGATAACTTCAAGTGATGAGGGTACGAGGCTTGGCTTGGGGACAAATAATATAAAAATACTAGTAAAAATCCTTATACATACATTAGGAATCTCCTAATGGCTTCTCAGATTTGACAAGATCCCATCTCATGGAAAGCAACTCCATCAGGTTCTACTGTGTATATCTTATGGGATTGGGGGAGACCAAGGAGTCTGCACAACAGCCAGCTACTGAAACACAGTGCTATTTAATGCAGTACAGATGACAGAATTATAGATGAAAAGCCAGAAGGGACCTCAGTCACCATCTAGTCAAACCCATTAATTTTACAGATGAGTATACTGAAGCCCCATGATGCTAAATAAATTGCCTAAGGTCACAAAGGCAGTAAATAGCAGAGGAAAGATTTGAACCCAGGTCTTCTGACTCCAAAGGAAGTGCTATATTTTTTTGTATTCTGCTGCCTCCTTATCAATTACGTAAATGCCATGCTTATCAAATTCACATATGACACAAAGCTGGGAGGAATAGCTAACACACTGGATGACATGTTACCTTGATAGACTTTACAGTATGAGAGCTAAATCTAATGAGATGAAAATTCAGTAGAGAAAAACTAAACTCTTATTGGGTTCAAAAAGTCAACATTACACATACAAGATGGGGGCAGAAGGAAGCTTAATTAGATAGTTTGAAAAAGATCTGGGGATTTTAGTGGACTGAAATCTCAAAGGAAGCAGCAGTGGGATGGGCCAAGGCAAAAAAGGTAATGCAGTCTGGGGCTGCGTTAAGAGAGTCGTGTTGTAGTTCCCAAGATGTCTTAGAGAACATTTGGAATACTGTATCCAGGTCTAGATGCAAGTTTAGGAAAGTTGTGGATAAGCTGGAGAACATCCAGACAACACTCAGAATTGTGAAAGGTCTTGAGTCCATGCCATACGAAGACTAGATGTTTAGCTCGGGGGAAAAAAAAATTAAAGAGGGTGGAACGTGATGCTGTCTCTTTGAACAAAGATTGGACTTATCTGGCCACGGAAATAAGGAATAGTGAGTGGAGGTTGCAAAGAGACAAATTTAGGCTTTATGTCAGGGGGAAAAAAAATCTTAAATAATACAGCTGTGCAGAAGTAGAAGGAGCTTCCTTAGTAACCATCTGTTGCAAACCATAACTAAAAAGAATCCTTAATCTTGTGATATGAGATGTCATAGATGGCTGCTGAGTTTTCTTCTAACTCGCCTAACAAACAACATGCCCATGATCACACATATAACAAGTTCCAAGTTGGGTTCTGAATGCCAATTTCCTGCTAAGTATAGCACCCATTCCACTATGCCACAATGCCTCAAAGTTTACAAAGCAGTTTCTTCATTACAGTTCTATGATGTATTATTATTCCTGTTTTGGAGATAAGGAAAGTGACAGAGGCTTGGAGAAATGACTAGCAGTAGGATCCTATGTAAGTTAAGAGTCAGAGCCAGGAGCTGAACTTAAATATCCTGGTTATGACGAGGTGTCATTTTTCTATATTACAAAAAATTTGTAGATGACAGCACAATTTGATGATTGTTTTATTATCATGCTAGGATTGATATTTTTTGGTGGCATACTGTGGTTTGTCACAGGGTACTTCTCAGAGCCTTGGGTTCCTCACTGTGCCAGATATATCTTCTGGCTACAAAATGGGGCTTATTCATAACAAAGAGAGGACAAGCAGTCTTTTTGGGAGCACAGTGCAGAAGAATCTGTTGGCTGTGCATTGGTCTTAAAGCTATAGAGAACAACTTCTTGACATAAGCACTGCTGGGGACACTATACACCATTACAAGAGACTTTTAGCTTGCTTTATCCAGCACCTAGTAGACCACTGCATACAAATGGGTCATTACTCAAATACCATCATGGGTTTATGATATTTTCCTAATGAATAAGTACTTTGGATTTTCTCAAAATCTCGTAAGAGAGAAAAGCCTGGGACTAAACAGAAGGAAAATCTTAGATATCTAATTCAATTGTTATCTTGGAGAAAATAAGATAATCATCTAGTTGATGACTCTTGAGATTGTTGGTTAATGGTAGTAGAGGCTAAGTCATAACTGGTTAACCATGGTAAGGCGTAGCTGAGAATACATACATTTGTATCGGACAGGATGACAAAGAGCAGAACACGCTAGTACCAAAAAGTTTTGATTCATTCACTGAACCATTCAAAAAACATTTATTGAGCACCTACAGTATACAAGAGTGTGAGGTGGCTATAAAAGCAAATACAACAATCCTTGCCCTGATGAGATTTATCTAGCAATCTGGCAAAGATCTACAAAATTTTCGACAGTGGAAGATATTAAGTACCACTAGAATTCAGGGAATAGAAATTTCATTTCTGGCTGAGGTTATCAAGAAAGACTGGTGTAAAAAGTGTAGTGAAGAAGAAAAAGCACTCGGTTGGGAATAAAAAGACCCTCATTCAAACCACAGCAATCCTACTACTAGACGAGTAAGTCTAAGACAGCAGCAGAGGTCTAACATATGCCAAAATACTCGTATTTTGTTGGAGCAAAGAACTAAACGCACATTGGGGAAAAGGTGAAAAATTATGAAATCTGAAATGTAATGAAATAATATTGTATAATAAGAAATGAATTCAAAGAAATGGGTAGTGAACTGTAGGAACTATACGAACTCAGTTCAAATAAGCAGAACCAAAAAATACTTTATACATGTAAATATAGAAATGAAAAGATAACTGAAACAAAGAACTAAAAAGCAATGATGTTTCTGGAAAAAACCATAATAGATCTTTCTCCTCACAACAGAGATATGGGGGTCTGTAAAGACAGAGTATCAAATACTTCCTGAGCAAGGTTTCTGTATTGAATGGTTTTGTTTGTTTTCCTTTGTTACAGGGAAGGTTCAGAGTGGGGGGAGTTGAGTTACTATGATTGTCAAAATATGAAAAATGTATTAAAATAAGAGTAAGGGAGTAGGGTTTGGGGTTGGAGATGATCCAAGCAGAAGAGGGTTTTATGGTAGAGTATCACAAAACAGAGACAGATTTATCAACTATGCAATAGCAAAAAGTGTAGGAATCTGAACTTCTGGGAGGCTAAGGGGCAATTTTTCACCTTTCCCCCAATGTGCTAAGGGTATAGTTCCCTGTCTAGCTAAGTACATATAAGATACACACACATACATCTGTCTGTCTATCTAGCTAGGTACGAAAAGGCAGGTAATCCATGAGGGAAGGCGTTAGCAGTAGGGGTGGATTGGTGTAGAAAGGCCTGTTGCAGAAAGTAGAATCTGAGCTGAGACTGCAGAAAGGCCAGGGAAGCAAGGAGGAATGGGTAAGGAGGGAGAGCACTGCCAGCCTGCAGGACAGAAAACAAGAGTTTTTTTCACTATTATAGCTTCCTATTCTTACACAGCAGAGGAGGAGCGCACATGCCAGTTATTAATCAAAAAAGAAAAGAAAGTTAATCTTTGTCCATCTGGTAGCCTGGAATGTAAAAGTAGGTTAAAAAGACATGGGACATTAGGACCCAAGATATCTCGCATATATGTAATCGCACAAATGTGTGGCACATTGCAGAAGGAAATTTCCTGGCTACAGAGTATAAAAAAGCAGGTACTCTTGCACACAACTGAATCAGTGTTGGAGAAGTACTGTAGACTTAAGAACAATATGTCAACAAGTTTAGCTCTGAATTTTAGGGTATGTCATATTAGAACCAGGTAACAAAGGGTGGATGTGAAGTCATCTGTGAGGGTACCAAGTCAGCCTTGTTCCCATGCAGAAGGGTCTTTTTCCTGTCTTGATTCTGTCTCAATAGTACAGCAGGCAAAGCAATGCCATCCTGGATACCTAAGCCTATCCACTGATAACCAATCTGGTGTTGGCACTTTGATTACTATTTCATGAGTCTGCCCTTTAATGGGGAGTATTTTCAGATATGAGGGCTGATCTAGGAACATTTTCACTAGCACACCTGCCTCCATAAACCAGTCTGTTTATACTTACCGCTTGGTTGACAGATACAAAGTTACATTCTTGGAGTGTGCAAATTCCCAACTGTTCAAAACAGATGCTGGCCCTGCTGCATATGTTACTCACATGAGTTTCTATGAGTTTAGGCTCATACTCACCAAAGGATAATCTGTCAGCAAACTGAGGGTGGAATACCTAACAGGGTCAGAAAGACTCTAGAGGCACAAGACCACCCCAGATGAGCTAACCTTGGGTAAGCAACTTAGCTTTTTGAAGCTAGTTTCTCCATTTATATAACAGAGATATGCTATTCCTGCCTATGTCTCAGAAATGTAGAAAAGATCAATTAAAATGTATTGTTTTGAGATCCTAGGAATGTACTATGTAAGTACAAGGACATACTCTATCCAACAGAAATGCATTTTAAAAAAAAATCTCGTGACTTTTGTGTTTGTGTTGTAGTGTATCAAATAACCGCAGGATTTTATTTGGGTCAAAGAAAGAGGCAGCACAGACATTAGAGCAGGAACTCAGAGTTTGGAACGAACAAACAAACAAACAAACAAACAAAATCCTGCTGAATCTAAACACCCTAACAACAAAAGCCTCAGCATGCATGTCTAGAAATCTGATGATCCAGATGGACCTTAACAGTAACTCTAGAAAAAACAGAATAAGAACAGATGGCAGTTTCACTTTATATGTGTAATCTCAGAAGTTTTGGTTTTAATCTAATCAAGTACCATTCCAAACAGTATCAGAAAAGTCAGTAAAGAAAATAGTTTAAAAAAAAACAAAACTACTACAGGTAGAAGGTCTGAAAAATCTGGCCTTGACTGACACTGAAGCTTCAGGAAGACAAGAAGACACTGTTAATCTTATAGATGAGTCTTACCCAAAACTGGACCAATCTGATTAGCCACAGTCCCTACCGAAGCTAAGTGTAGGACACATCAGAGACCCAAGAGTAAATAGGGATTTTAGAAATTACTCAAATTAAATCCTCATTTTATAGATAAAGAAGCTGAAGCCCAATGAAATAGGGTAACAAACCCTGATTGTCTGACTTCAAATTTAGTGCTTCTTCCTCAACACAACATTACCTGACCACAGGTAATTTTTTTTTAATCTAACTTATTTGATGATTTTTATCCTTACCTAAATATCTTTCCTTTTGGATTATAAGATATCCTAATTCTGATCTGTGGGGATCGAAAACCACCAACTTCCCCTAGCAAATTTTTTTTCTTTTTTAAAGGGATGGGATGGAGAGATTTATTTGGCCCTGTGTTTTCATTGGTCTAGGAAACTTCCAGCAAATAAACCTCTTCTACCAATGCAGATCAGCAACTGTTCTTCAAACTACAGACTTGGGAGATGGTCTGAGACACTGAGAAGTTAAGTGATTTGCCCAGGTTTTTCTGAACCTTACAATGGCTCTCTATCCGCTATGCAACACTACTTCTAACCTAGAAACAAGAGTAATAGCTAGCATTTATACAGTACTTTAAAATGTTCAGAGTGCTTTATGAATATTGCCTCATTTTAACCTCAAACAACCCTGGGAAATAGGTGTTATTGTTATCTCGATTTTATAGATGAGGAAACAGGGGCACACACAGGTTAAGTAACTTGCCCAGGTTCATACAGCTAGTGAATATCTAAGGCTGGTTTTAAACTCAGATCTTCCTCACTTCAGATTTGGCCCTCTATCCACTTTGCCAACTACCTGCCTATTAATGTTCCCCATGAACAGTATTTTTAAAAGTAATAGTTGTTCACTGATTAGAAAGAGGCTGAATAAGTTATACCATATATTATATAAGGGACTATTATTACATTATAAGCCATGACAAATAAGAAGAACAGAAAGAAGTATGATCTGATATGAAAGTGCAGTATGAAGAATTGGAGCAATGATATCATTGATTACAATAATATTAAAAATTAATAACTGCAAAAAGTTTAAAAATATACATAACAAAAAGATCAGAAGGGGACAAAGATGTTCTCATTATAATTTTATATTATGCTTTAAAAATATATGCTTTAAAATATACTTTAAATATATATGCTTTAAATAATATATATTTATATATGCTTTAAAAATATATATTCTTTAATATATGCTTTTTTAAAAGTCTGTTCAAAACATGGTTTATAAAGAGAACACTGAGGAGGAATGAGAAATAGGTCAAAAACAATATTCAATATTTGTGCCATATTATCAGAGTTGAAGGAAGAATCCTTTCTTTCCGTTAACAACTGAAGCCACAAAAGTGTAAGATGACGGGTACTATCAGTAATCAGACTTTTTTTTTTTTTTACTAAGTGCATGTACTTGTAGGGGATTTGTTTGGGCGCTTGTGGGGAAGTTTCTGTTGTGTCAAAACAAGATCTATCTGTAAAATTTCTAATTGGGTTAATGGTTTGGAGTTTATGGCTTTAGTTATAATCTTTCTTCTTATTTTATTTGTTCATTTAAATGTTTGTTTCTGTGGAAGGTTTAAGCTTATATTTTTAAAATTATCTGCAAAGCAAATATAAAGCAATGCAGGATTAAGCCCTATCTCTGCTGTGATTTAATATATTTTTCTTAAACTTTTCCAGCTTATGAAAACAAATAAAAGGACAAAACTCAAAACAAAACAAAACCAAACCAGTTCTCAGGTTTTTCTGCCATATGTATTCTAAACATATGTATTTCAGTTACAGTATAATTACACAAGTTTCTTTCTTTTTTTCTCTTATTCTGCTAGATCTTTTTTGGTTCCAGATTTCCTGGCACTTTAATGGGAAATTCATGCTAACTGATTTAAGATGGTCCACTGAAATACACAGTAACAGAAAGAAAAAATGGCTCCTATTATGTTTATGATATGCAGATCCTGCATTTCATGCCTATTTCATCTCTGCCAGAAAAGGCCTGTGGTATTTGGGAGATCTGAAAAATCAGGGGCTTATCAGACAGAAGCTACATGGCTCACTTGGAGCCAGTTGGTGGATTCTGATCCCATTTCTCCAACATGTAGCAATTACTCCTTGCAGGGAAATCAATAGGATATGTGGCTGGCTTTTTCCTCTCTCAGAAAAGTAATTATAATTGTTAACTATATAGTCACAGAAGCAGCTGGCAGCAACAACAAAAACTCCCCATCTAGGATAACTTAGAATAAAAGGAAAAAATAAATGGGGGTCGGAACAAAAAGGAGGAGAAATCTCCATCATAGCAGCAATCATTGCTCAGATTCTTTAGTAAAAGACAGACACACTTTTTTTTCTTTTTGAAAGACCCAGCATCAAAGTGCTTCATGCTTTTTCAACATTATTTTCAATTTCCTCTCCACAAAGATTCGCTTTTTCAAAGTAGAAAAGTCAATGGAAAAATAGTCAAGTAGGCTCCAACTATACCACCCTTTCTATGAGAGCCCAAATGATCCAGAAAGAGCTGGCTGATTAGTTGGTAAAACCCAAGATGAAATTTGATTTTAGTAGAATAAGTCATTATTCTGGTGTGCTGAGAAGAATTACCTACCGTCGCAGTGCGTTGGTAACTTCTGCTGCCAAATCATTCTCGCTGAATGTTGTCCTCAGCTCAGATAGTGACAGCACAGATGAGGCTCCATCCATACACTCCTAAAAACAATACAACTGACTGTTAAATATAACTTGAGGACTTTCTTATAAACTTGAACCTGCTCTGTGGCAGAGCAAACACAAATGAAGTAGTAAAAAATGGAGTTGTCATGTTGAAGGCTATCTTCATCTTAAGAAGACAAATACAGAGTGAAATAAATAGAATCAGAGAACACAATTTAACAGGTTAACAAAATTCAACAAAACAATTTATACAATAACAACAACATTGAAAGACTTAGTAACTAGTCCAAAAAAATGATCAACCAGCATTCCAAAGCATTCATGGGGAAACACGCTAATACTCTCCTGATAGGTGATGGACTCATGATGCAGACTGATATATGTCACATATATTTTGGACTTGACTAATAGTGTAATGTATTTTACTTGAGCATACCTATTTATAGGAATAGTTTTGCTTTCCTTTCTCAGTTGGAGATAGGTCAAAAGAAAAAAAAATTTTTAAATACTGACTTTCAAGACAATATGCCTACAGTCAATTTAAGGATAGGACTTCCAGAAGAACTCAAAAAATATGAACACCATAATGCAAAAAATAATACAAGAAAATTGCCCAGAACTTCTGAATACAGAAAATAGTATTAATCAAAAGAATCTACAGATTGCCTCTAGGGGAAAAAAAAAGCCTAAGATATAAACTCCGAGACATATACTGATTCAATTTGACTATTCTAATGGCAAATAACAAGTTTTGCAAATGACTAGGAGAAAGATTTCAAAATATGAAGGAAAGGAAATCTGAATACACAAGTCTATTCTGCACCCATCAGATATAGCTGAAGAGAATGGAATAATGTATTGCAAAAAGCAAAGCAGCTCAAGATATATCCCAAGGTGACATCCCTTCAAATCTAAGCCTAATCATCAAGGGAAAAATGACGGACATTCAATAAACATTGAGACATTTTTTATGAAGAAAATTCAATAAAAACAGATATAAGGTTGTTCGCTTTTCAAAGACCCCAGGCAAGAAACACAAGACAAAAAAATAAAGCTATTAAGGAAATTGCAAGTGGTTAAATTACACACACACACACACACACACACACACACATAATATATATATATATATATATATATATACACACACACACACATATATATATATATACACACACACACATACATATATACACACATACATATATATACACACATATATATATGACACTTTTGAGGATTAAAAAAAGGACAATAACATAAATGGAGGGAATATTAAGAGGTTTCTTTCTTAAAGTACACAAAGAGATAAAGATGAAAGCAGAACTTAAATAGAAGTGATAGTAGAGTCACAGGCCTGATACAGCATAACTGAACCTCATGATTCTTTGCTTCCCAGTGAATCAGTCTTTTGTGGGACTACACTGCAGAATTTGGAGGGCAAGAAAGGGAAAAGGGGAGAAAAAGGGTAAGAGAGGAATGTAAAATATATCCTATTCAAGTAAATGTTAAATAATGAACAGAAAATAACTCCTATAGTATTTTAGGAAGTAGAGGGGATAGGAGAAAATTGGTAAAGTGGCAAAATTAGAGGTTGAAACAGGCAGAAAGAAAGGGAGAAATGTTAATCTAGTGGTGAAAGAAGTTCTACTCAAGAACTCTCCCATGTGCGGAGAGAAGTATTTCATAATGGGAGCTGGGGACTTTATCACGTGTGTAATTTGCAGGGGTTTTCTGCTCAGAGAGACTACTATCTCTGAGACAGTGCTGTACCTCCATGGATGGTATCCTGCCTCAGGAAATGAGGAATCATAACTGTGGCAGTAGGGGTGGAGGGGAGAGAAGTGACATCCAAAAGGGAGGAAGGTCTTGGAATCAGAGAGATTATTTCATGGTAAATAGGAAAAACAATTATAAGAAAATAGGAGATAGTGCTCTCTATCTCCTCCAAGAATTGATACCTCTGAGAGTAAGCACAACAGGGGAAAAAAAAAAAAGAAGCAAGATCATCAAGGCAACAAAATAGAAATTAAAAAAAAAACTGCCCATTTCAAGAAAACTTTAAAAACAATTGCACGGACCTTTTAAAACCAGAGAGAAGTGACAATAGAAAGAATAGTTATCTCATGAAATAAATCTCAAAATGAAATCTAGAAATGTCATAGCCAAAATCTAGAGCTTCCAAGTCAATGAAAAAGTACTGCAAATAGTCATAAAGAAAGAGTTTAAGCACTAAAGAACCACAGTCAGCATCATAAAAGATTTAGCAGCTATTATAGCTATTGAGGAGTAGAGAGCTTGGACTATTCGAAAAGGCAAAAGATATAGGCTTACAACCAAGAATAATTCACCCAGAAAAAGTAGCGTAATGCTAAGCATTATTTCCTGAGGAAAATACAAGAAACGGTTAGAAATTCTGAAGCACAAACAGGGTAATAAAGAGAAACATAATAAAGTAAATACAAGTAAGCAATTGAAAGAAGACTTATGAAGCCTATGTAAAGATTTTGTATCCTTTAGAAAAGATGAAATATTCGCATCCTAATGGGGACTGACTGTGATATAAGCATCTCCTAAAAACTGTGATGTCAGCAGGTATCATAGAGGGAGTCAAATAAGACTGAGGGTCTGGGAGCGATTTTTACTATATTTTGATGATCTTAAATGGAGAAAGAAGGGGGAAAAGGTTTCGCTAGGGAAGAAAAGAGGGATGGGATACAGGGGATTTATTTCACGTGATTAGAGATGAACATATACGTCTATACAAATGGTAGGAGTATCATTTACACCTCATTTTGAACTCATGCAGACTGAAGATAGTGTATCTTAAGTAGTTTATACAATAACTATCACATGGTAAAGACAAACCATTTTAAAAGACTTAAGAACTCTGATCAAAGAAATGATCAATCACAATTCCAGAGGACTGAAAAAGAAGAGGCTCCCTACTTCCTGAAAGAGAAGTGATGGACACAGGATATAAAATGAGACTTTTTGGGGACATGACCAATGTGGTAATTTGTTTTGCTTGACTACATATATTTGTTACAAGAATTTAGTTTTTATTTTTTAAAATAAATTTTAATAATATCATTTGCTTTTATATCACAAAAATTACCTTCAGTATTCTTCCCCCAATGTCCTCCCAGGTAACCATCCCAAATAACAAATAATTTTTTTAAAAGAAAAAAGAGGAATAAGAGGGGGAAAAAATCAGCAAAATTGATCAACTGAAAAAGTCTGAAAATATGTGCGTTGTTCTATACATGTGGACTTCCTACCTCTATAAAGAAATAAAAGCCCTAGGAGTGATTGTATCACCCAAACCACTGCTCCTATTTTCAGCTGAGTCCTCGCAGCCATCATAGCAACTCTTGTGATTAAGGGGTCAGCTCTCCCCACCATATGCCACTCACAGAGCAAGCAGGATAGGCTAGTTAAAGCAGCAGGGCACTGTGAGGGAGAGACAGAAAGCAGAATGTGCCAGGCAAGTCAGATCACTATTTTGACCACCATTTCTCCTCTAATGCAGACAGCTCAGGACCCTGAACCCAAGAGCCTTGGGAATAGCAGTGACCTGAAACCACTAGACTTGTTTCCAATAAATTCCCTACAGCTGTCACTGTGAGAAGAAATTATTCTGCATAATTTTCTTTCTTCTTTCACCAGCAACAACTGATGAACAACTGCTACCAATAGGCAGATAAGCCACAGGAGCCCTCAGAATAGCTGCACCTCTCAGAACAACACTCCTCCTTCCAGGCAAGCAATTCCCATAGAAAGGGGGCCAGTCATTTCCACCCACTGCTAACCAACTGTCACTCACAGAACAGGCAAGCCAGCCTAGCAGAAGCAGCAAGGCAACCTGAAGGAGGTAAGAGTCAGCATAAGCCAGACAGTCAAACCACCACCACCACCACCACCACCACCACCACCATTTTGACTATTACTCTCAGTCTCCAATGGTGACAGCCCAGCATCTTGAACCAAAGAGCCTTGGGAATAACAGTGCTTCTGATCCAAGTCAGGCAATCATCATTCCAGGAAGCAAGCCTGTGGAGATGCAGTTTGGCAAATGTTCCTGCAGATGCTTTAGCTATGTTTGTTGAAGACTCAGAAGAAAAAAAAAGTTTTTTGCCATCAAAGTCCTTGGTACTGTCAAATGGTTTAGCATTAGAAACTGATATGATTTTATCAGTAGAAATTATATAAAAGAAGTGAGGAAAATTATTTTTTCTGTTATGTCAATAACCAATTGGGATCCAGGCTTTTCTTTTTCTATTTCCTTATTTAGGGCTTAGCCCCTATAAGTCAGTCAGCCAGTCTCAGAAGGACAAGGCCGATAGATGAGATTGTCCAAATCCTTTGGGAGCATGCTCTTTGATTAATCAGCCTCAAATACAGCCAGGGAGGGGAAAAGCAAAATGATTCTTTGAAAATAGCACTTTTCTTCATTAATGACATGCTCACTCAATTTTTATCTTTATGTTCCGCTAAGTAATTTTGCTCTCACACTACTACCAAAAAATCCCAGTAAATTCTTGCATAACTTACTTGATTGTATAACATCAATAACTTTTATCACTGAAAACTAAGGATAATTTTACAATTTTCTGGTTAACTTTTTGTTACATTTATTATCTCTGTTATTGTTTGTTACATCTTTGTCTTTCAGCAGAAATAAATTGCAATGAAAACAGGAACCTAGAAAATTCTCCTTCAATTCAAACATCTTGTTTAAGTTTTTTAAAGTGACGACATATTAGGGCATAAAAGCTCAAAAAAGGAAAAATATGTTTATTGTCCACAATATAATAAAATTTATCCATTGGAGACAGGATTAAAAATTAATTTAGAAACTAAATTACTCCTAAATAATTGGTGGGCCAACGAGCAAATCATAGAAACAAAGAAAAGAACAACAATGAGAAAACACACATTTTTCAGAATGAATGAAGTCAGTGATGAAATCCTAGGGGAAAATCATCTCTCTCAAAAGTCTCATCAGAAAAAGAGAGAGAAAATGAATTGGGCACATAATTTTTTTTAAAAAAACAACCCAGAAAACTAATAATTTAAAAATAAAAATCTTTAAAAGAAGACAGAAACAGAATTAAAAGTAAAACCTACTGAATTAATAAATAAAACTAAGATCTATTTTTTTAGGGGAAAGAAAAGAGACATCAAAACAAACAAACCATTATTAGCTAATTTGATTAAAAGAGGAAAACTAAATTACCAGTATCAAATGTTAAAAAGCAAAATTCATAGCAGCTGAAAATTAAATAAGGGAAATTAATAAACTATTTTACTTAATGATATGTCAAAACTGTTCACGAGAAAAATGGATAAATATTGATAAAAATATAAGATGCCTATATTAACAAAATAAAAAATGCAGAATTTAGATGACCCAATCCCAGAAAAAGAAACCAAACAAATCATAAATGAACTCCCAAAGACAATAACCCTGGGACCAGTTGGATCTATAACCAAATTCTACTAAATGTTCAAAGAATTATTAGATCCTATACAGGGTGTCCTAAAATTCCTAGCACAGTTTTAAGCTTTTTAGACATTTGGGACACCATGTGTTAATTAAAATATTTACAAAAATAGAAACAAAAGGAACCCAACAAATTTCCTTCTATGATATAAAAGTCACTTTGATACCTAAGCCAAGGAGAGTAAAAAGATAAATAAAAATATTGACCAATATCACTCATAACTATTAACATAAACATATTAAATAAAATATCAGCAATAAGGTTACACCAACATATCACAAAGCTTGCGCACACTATATAACCAGGTTGGATTTACATCAGGAATGAAGGTTTGGCTTGATATCAGGAAAAGTGGAGACATAATAGAACATGGTAATAATAAGAACAATAAAAAAAACCACATGATTACATATAAATGGGGGGAAGCTTTTGACAGAATACAACATCCATTTATGTTAAAAATACTAAAAATGGACCTTTTCTTTATATGCTAAATAGCATCCAAAACCAAGAGCAATCCTCAATAATGGGGATAAACTAGAGACATTTCCTGTAAGATCAAGGATAAAGCAAGGAAGTCCATAATCTCCACTATTATCTGATAAAGTTCTAGAAAAGTTAGCTATACCAATATGAAATTGGCCAAATAAGCATGACCGATTAGGAAACAAAATTATTACTGTCTATAGATGATACAGTTTACTTTAAAAAGCCTAGAGTCAATTAAAATTAAGCAAAATAACTCCAATAAAGTTGTAGAATAAAAAATAAATCCAAATAAACCATCACCTTTCTATATTTTTCCAACAAACCCCAGCAGTAAGAGAGAGAGAAAAAAAATTCCATTTAACTTAAGTACAGAATGTAAAAAATATTTACGTGTCTCTCTATCAAGACAGCATAGTAACTAAATGAATACAGCTACAAAATACTCTTTATTGAAATAAAGATATATTTAAGTAATTTTTAAAATATTAATTGCTTATGCAGACTGAACCAATAATAGAAATGAAAATGCCATTTAAATGTACTAATTCAGTGACATACCAACCAAACTAACAAAGGATTACTTCACAGAAGTAATACAGTACATTATACTTCATTACTTCATTAAGACAAATAATGAGAAAAAAGAAGGCGAGAAAGAAGGGAGTCTAGAAGTTTAAACTAGATCTCAAATGAGTAGGTTAGAGCTTGATAATCTCAAAGACCATAGCTATTGGTATAAGGACTTTTCTGACAAAAACTGCTGGGAAAGCTGGAAAACAGTCTCCAAGAAATTAAGTTTAGACTAATGACATATCAAGATAAGCTCCAAATATATACATGATTTAAAATATCAAAGAAAAACATCTAGAAGATTTCATGATCAAACAAGTGATAGAGGATCAAGAAAGATACAATGAACAATTTTGATGACATAAAGTTTCACAAAAAAAAGACCGTTATAGCTGATATCATAAAGGAAACAGTTAACTGGGGGAAAATATTTGCAGCAGGTTTCTCTGACAAAGGTCTCAGTCCCACAATATAAGGATCTGATTCAACTATATTATAATGACAGCCATTCCCCAATTAGGTAACTAGTCAAAGCAGATGAACAAAAAATTCTCAAAAGAAGAAATCAAAGCTACCAATAGCCATGATTAAAGAAAAATTTCTCCAAATCACTAATTATTAGAGAAATTCTCATTAAAGCAACATTGAAATTTTACCTCATCAGATTGGTTAAAATGACTGAAAAAGGAAAATGCAAATGTTGGAGACCTACTTCCTGACCAAGAAGTGATGAACCCAAGATGAAAAATGAGATATATAAAAAATTTTGTACATGGCAAATGTGGGACTATGTTTTGCTTAAATATTGCCCCTTCCCCCCACCCATACAGTCGTGTAGTGGTGGGACAGAGAAAAAAGAAATGCTTGTTAATAAAAATAATTAAAACAAATTTTTTAAAAAACCACTCTTATTAAAGAAATCAGAATAAAAGGTAAAGTTTGCAAAGTGCAGTAGGAGACAAAAAATGTGTGAGGTGGTGGTGGTTTATGAGCCCCATTTTGAATCTTAACTTCTGAATGCATTCTATATCCTAGTAATAGTAGTGAAATGTGAATTACCTTTTTCTATCCCTCTACCCTTCCAGCTATCCACCCAGACCTATATGCCATTGAAGCTACGGACCAGCACCTTCCATTCCTTTACCTTGCCAGATTTTTCTTTGCTTCCACTGCTGGTGGAACTGAGTGACCTCATTTTTTGTTCCTTCTGTTCCTCCACCTCAGACTTGAGATGTTCAATATGCACCAAATACGCTTGTTCCTGGGCCTCTCGAGTACTCAGCTTCAGTTCAAGAGCTTTCTTCTCTTTCTCCAGTAGGTATAATTGGGCCTTCAGCTCAGCCATTTCCTCCTACATAACAAAACACATGGTTTATTAATTCATAGAGAAAAATCACACAATCACTCTGATTTTATCTACTACAAATTTATGTTACATAATGGCCCTCATTTCTGCTAGGCAATACTTTTGTATCTCCCTAATTAACTGTCTTTCTAAAGTGGCTCTTCCAGATCATCTCATCCCTCTTCAAATCTCATGGTACTTCTTCCTCTAACCCTCTCAGCTGAGAACCCTGACTCATAGTTTACTAAAAAAACTGAGGCCATTCATCAAAAGATGTGTTTTTCTCCCTCCTCATCATCTCATCGCTCAGGTGCCTTCTGTCACTATCTCCTTCATTATTTTTGTCTCACCTGAAAAGTGGCCTTTCTCTTTGCTCAGACAAATGCCTCTCTCTGCACAAGAGACCCCATTCCATCTTGTCTCTTCTAGTAGAATGATGTCTCTGTCATTCCCACTTTTTCATTATCTAGAATCTCCCCCATTTACGAGTTGCTTCCTTACTCTCTACAAACATACCTGTCTCCCCCACCCTCACAAAACTCTCACTTCATCTGACCATCCCTGCTAACTATAATCTCATGTCTTTCTAGCCTTTAGTGGCTCCTTTAGAGGCCACATGGCCTCAGGTTCCCCACTAAACTCCTTGAGAAGGAGTTTCTATTCTAACTTCTCTCCTTTTTTTTTTTTCTTAACTCTCTACAATCTCACTTCCAACTAAGCATTCAAAGGAAAGTGCTCTCTCTAAAGCTACCGATGATCACTTATTTTTTCAAACCTCATCCTTCTTGACTTATCTACAGCTTCTGACACTGTCAATCATCCTCCTCTAAACGCTCTCTTCTTTCTAGGTTTTTGGGACACTAATCTTTCCTATGTTTTTTTTTTATTTATCTCACCAGTCCTTCTCAATCTCCTACATTTAAATTTTATCTGTATCATACTTGCTAATCATGACTGTTCCCCAGGGTTCTGTCCCAGGTCAATTATCCTCTCCCTTCATACTGTTTTACTTGGTGATCTCATCAGCTCTCTTATTAGTATTCATCCATATTTTTTTCATTTCATTCATAATCATTCACATCACTATTATTCAATTATCTCTATACTGATGATTCTCAAATCTACTTATCCAACCCTAATCTCTCTGCAAATCTCCAGTCTTGCATCTCCAACTTCCTTTTAGGAATTTCTCACTGGGTGTCCTCTAGATATTTGAAACATAACATTGAGTTCAAAACTGAGCTCAGTTCTTTCCCTCCAATCCATCTCCCCCCATACTTCCTTATTGCTGAGGTCTACCATCATCCTCCCAGTACTCCAAGCTCACAACATAGGCATCATCCTTGACTTTATGCTCTTTTTCAACCACCACAGGTTGCCAAGGCTTTTAAGTTCACATTTGCAACACCTCTTAAATATGCTGTCTTCTCTCTCAATAAGTACCATCACCCTGGTGCAGGCTCCCATCTACTCATGCCTGGACCACTATAATACAGCCTGCCTGTTGGCCGGTCTTCCAAAAGTCTCTTCTGACTCCAGTCCATCCTCCATTAAGCCCCAAAGTGTTCTTCGTATAGCACTAAATAAGTTCTAGTGGCTTCCTGTTATCTCCAGGATCAAATAACAAATCCTCTATTTGGAGTTCAGACCCTTCATGACCTATACCCCTCCAACCTTCTTAGTCTTCTTAGATTTTTCACCCCAACATTCCAAGGACTCTTTGGTCCACTGACATGGGTCTCCTTGATGTTCCTTAAACAAGACACTCTGTCTCTTGGCTCCAGTCATTTTCTTTGACTGTCTCCCATGTTTGGAATGTGTGAAATTGAAAACTGACATGGCACACAGTATGTAAGAGTTTTACTTCCCTATTCTTATGGGTTAAAGTCTGACCATAAAGACTTAAAATTTGGGAACTTTTTGCTGACTGTGGAAGGGAGGAGAAGGGAAAAAAGAAGATGAGACAACCTGGCCATATGATGTTTGCTTACTATGAGACTTTCCTGAGGTTGTTAGCCAACTCTGTGTTTTTCCTGTTGCCATGGGTTCTAGAAATCCCCTCTCTCAGTAAGCCTACCCTCTATCTCTCTGTCAGAACAATTATAGCCTTAGTTTAGTTTGCATCACTGGACTATTATGTAACCAACTGTATATAGAGCTGCTCTGTCAGATGCATCCTTGACCACTAGGGAGTCTTGGATTTTTTTTTTTTAATTGGCAATTGCTAGCCTTGCTAATAAACTGATCCTGCTTGGAGCTTTGTGCCTCAGTTTCTCCTTAACATGACAACTGGAGAGCCAACCAGAAGTTAGTTATGGGACCTCCACCTCAGGATGCCCTCTCCAAGGGGATTCCCTTCTTCCCGGAGAAGTCCTGGATGTTCCCCTCAGCTTTGAGTCAAATTTTCTCTGAGCCAAGGTAAGCTTACAAAACCAGGAAAGTCTCTAGGGCACCTAGACAGTTATTGTACAAATAGAATTTAAATTGATAAAAAGAGTCTTAAAATTGATAGTGCACACTAGATTTTTGGCAAAAATTTCAAAGAGAAAGCAAACTTTATAAAGAAAAAAGGTAAGGATTGAAGAAAATTTCACAATACCAGCAATTTCCTATTCGTAGTGGCAGCAGGCAGCTTTCCTATTCTCTTCAGCTATAACTCCCCCCTTTGTTTTGAGTGGTAGAGGGCCAAAGTAAAATAGCTTTTCAGTTGATAAAACTAGTAGCTAGTTAAATTCATTATGTTGAACTGGCTTTTCTAAATTGGCTCAGTCATAAAGGAGGAAGGCCTGCAGAGAATCTTTGTATTCTGAGCCTTGATTGGACTGAGTAGGGGATGTCCCACTAGTGACTGCCCTCTTTCATGAGGGTGACACTGTAGGGTGACTTGGGGCAGTTTCCTAATAATTACCTTCCCTGAGTCACTCGTGATGGCTACTTTAGTATCCCCTTTACAGGTGACAATAGGGTCAGGTCCCAAGGACCCCACCTTGGAAAAACTGCTTCAATCCTGATTTTAATACAAGCTTTCCCCCTCCCCCTGCCTAGTTCAACTGGGAGTGAAGAAAGCACATATTGTTCCGTTCTATTTAGTAACCTGTAGTCTAAGACTGCTAGAGATTCCGCTGATGAATTATTTTCACCCAAATGTGACTTTTTTTGATTACTGCACATTAAAGAAACTAGGAATGACCACTGAACAATTTCATCAAAAATAAACTATATGGTCTTGGGCAGCCCTGTCAGATGGCACATGCCCACTTCTGACTGTACCCTTCTCTTTTGCTCTTCCACCCATTCTTCCTTCACTACGGTAAGAGATCTAACTTCTTTAAGATGAGAGGGTCCAGCTGATGGTGATTTTTCTCTCCAAAAGAGAGAAAATGGGCATAACTCTATCTTGTTACCCCAGAAATTGTCCAATATGAAGGAAGAGATAAAGAAAAGAGGGAACCTAAGCAGAAACCACAGGCAATCTTGGCCACTGCCCAAATATATCTGGCTCCTATTTTAGCCCAGCCATGAAGCCTCAGGGGTCATTTTACTAGAGATTGCATAAAGAAAAAGAGGGACTTTCAGAATAAGAATGAAAAATGGGATATTGGGATAATCTAAACAGAAATTTATAGCACGAGAGTCTATCATTCAAAGGAAACGCCATATACTCCTGCAGCCTGAGGACTACTACAGGTAGAAGTCTGTCTCTGGGGAAAATTGAGGGGATTACCTTGAGAAGAAGAAGGTCAGGTCTTAGTTTCCCCATTTTCCCACCTAGGTATATCTGAGCCTGGCTGTCATACCCTCTGGCTCTGTTGTTCCATGAACAAGACACTCCATCTCTTGGCTCTAAGGCTTCTAGAGAATCGAGTTATTTCCATTGTCTAATACACTCTAAGTTCCAGGTAAAATTCCACCTTGTACAAGAAGTCTTTTCCAACCCTCTTAATTTCTGTGCCTTTTCTCTGTTAATTATTTCCTATTTATCTTGTAAACAGAATAGCTTTGTATATATTTGTTAGCATGTTGTCTCCCTCATTAGACTGTAAGTTCCTTGAGGGAAGGGACAGTCTTTTACCTTTTTTTTGGATCCCCACCATGGTAGGCACTTAATAAAATGTTTATTGACCTCACTTGGTGTCATCCTAAATTCATCTCTCACTCATTCAACATATCCAATTTTTGCCAAATCTTATTATTTCTACTTTCATGATCACTCCTATATGTTTCCTTCTCTCTGTGCACATAGCTAGCCCCCCTGGTGCAAGCTCTCATTCCCTTGCACTTGGACTATTCCAATGGCTTTTTGGTCTGCCCTCCTCAAGTCTTTTCCCACTCTAGTCTGTCCTCCAGTCAACTGACAAAGTGATCCTTCTAAAAACACAGGTCTATGTTACTTCCTTGCTCAGTAAATTCTAGTGAGTTCCCTATTCCCTCCAGGATCAAATGTAAAATTCTTCTGTATATCTTTTAAAGCCTTTCATACTCTGGCCCTTTCCAGCCTTCATTCTCTGTCACGTCCTCTACGATCCAATAACTGTTTTCCTTGCTGTTCTTTCCATATGACACTCCATCTTCTGACTGTGCCTTTTCATTGACTATTGCCACACCTGAAATGCTCTCCCTTTTTAACACCACCTGCTAGCTTCGTTCAACACTCACTGTAAATCCTAACTTTTGAAAGGGGCTTTCCCACTCTGTCTCCTACCCACTATCCCCATTGCTAGTTCCTTCCTTCTAGGATTACTTCCCACTTACACTGAATATATCTATTACGTTCCTAGTTGTTTGCATGTTTTCTCTCCCTCCCCCCCACCAGAATATGAGCTCCTTAAAGTATCGAATGTATCTTTGCCATTCTTTGTATCCTCAGTGCTCATCAAAGTGCTTAGCACATAGAAATGCTAAATAAATGCTTACTGATTGATTCCATTTTCCCAACATAAAATTCTTATTTGTTAACCATCAATGGAAACAGTCATTGCTATTATTCAGTAACTCAAAAGCATATTCTCTGGTACTGGTTTCTTGAGTTAGTTTTATAGTGATTGTGAGGTGATGCAAAGCATTTCACAGAATTTTACAGGTGTAAGTCTGTTAGTAATCATCTAGTTCAACTCATACTTGAAAAGGAATCCCTACTACACAATACAAAGTTAAATGCAAAATGCTGTATATACAAAGTAATTTCTAGGGAAACGGCATAGGCCTAGGAAGATCACAGACACTGTGTAAGAGGTGGCACCTGCACTGAGCTTTGAAGGTTATTTGAGATTTTATAAATGACTGATTTATCATGTCTCCCTGATGTACTTGTGAAGTTGATCATTTAAGTGTAAAATTTTATATTTCTCTTTATTTAATGTTACCTTATTAGATTAGGCCCAATGCTCTAGGCTATACTTTTTGTCAAGATCTTTTTAGATTCTGACTGTTATCCAGTGTATTAGCTATCCCTCTCAGCTTTGCATCACCTGCTAATTTGATGCTACATGTTCCTTTACACAACATATTCCTTACTGAAGAAAGAATTCTTATAGGATGGTAATGATATAGAAAATGCAAATCAAGCATTTGACCTAATGTCTGCAAAAGCCCAGAAAGTGGGCTCCCTCAGAAATTGGAGGCTATGAATTGTTTTACTTTCTTCCCAAACACTTCACAACAGCACAGAAAAACAGTCCAACCTCTCAGTCTTAATTAGCAAACAGAGGTATGGGAGATGATGCATTAAAATTCCCCCATTCTATTGGGGTGGAGTGGGAATAAACACTTATTAAGCATCTACTACATGACAGGCACTGTGCTAAGCACTTCATAAATATTATCTCCTTAGATTTCTTAGGCAGATAGTATGATCCAGAAAGACCAAACAATGAATTTGAAGGGAAAGGGTGTTTTTTTTAAGATTCTGGGAAGTGAGATGTGCCAGTGCTAGCCTTCTAAGTCACTCAGGTCTCTGCCCAAGCATGCCATATACCTGTCAGAAGAGACAAGACAGGGTAGTATGGCCCAGAGTAAAGGAAGAATAGATATATAGTGTGATATTGAGTAGAGGATGGTCACTGATATGCAGCTGTTTTAGCAGGTTGGAGCCATATGCTCTAGAATCGTGGTGGGGAGTTATTAAACCATCACCAAGGGAGAAAAACCAAGGAGAAGTGAAGCTACCAAAAGCAGAACAATTCCTTCTTACTCCTAGGTAGGGAAGCAGGCTTTTCTCCTCAGGGTATCCTGCCCACCTGATCCACACACCACATCCCCTTGGCCAATTTCTAGGTGACAGAGACCAAGGAATAAAATTTGTTCTGGGGCTACTGACAGTCACCACAATTTATCTGAAAATATAATGTTTCAGATGTGGTCTGACAAGGGAAAATAGAGTACACTGGGCCTATCATTTCCCTAATCATGGACATTTTGTTTCTCAATGCCATCTAATGTTAGCGTTAGAGCACACTTAGACTGTCAGAATACTTTTGACTCATAGTGAATTTATAATCTACTTAAAGAACCCAGATCTTTTTCAGACAAACTTCTGTATAACTAGATCTATCTTATACTTAGGAACTTCATTAAATACCCACTGTATAAACTACTATGTTAGGTACTAAGATTATACTCTCTGACTTCAAAGGGTTTGCAATATAGTAGGGGGATGGGACACCACATAAATTAACCTAATATAATCCAGAATGAGAATTATTTTAGGGTAGTGGATTCTATAACCTTGTGCTTAGATTTTGGTACAACCCCTTACTTTATGGCTATTAACTCAATTGTCTGCCCAGGTGAAAACCCTTTCACCTGATACCGCTCTCTCTGTTCTATCATCCTTTTCTAGATTAGTTCTATCCTGCTCTAGTCCCTAGTCTAGTCATTCCCTGTCCCCCAATAAATAAATTCCTCTCATATTCTCAACCTTTTCCTCTTAATAACTGAAACATACCACAAACTTTCATAACCTGTTTAATTTTAGCCACGTCTGTTTTTCAGGACAGGAAAGAGAGTCAATAGACACCAGTGTAATTTCAAAAGCTAAGCTAACAGTTGATTTGTTACCATCATTTGTCAGTACCACTTTGGGGGAGAAACTCTAAATTCTCCCATCCAATGCCAGCCTGACAAAGAGACACAGTAGTCACTGAACATGTACCTTCATCGCCATCAGCTCCTGCATCAGCACTGCATTTTCTAGGTCTAGTCTCTGACTATCTCCTCGAGGCTTGACATCGTAACTAAGAGGATCAATATGGATGCTTTCCAACTCTAACATGGTCAGCTTGACAGCTGCCCTGTCATTCTTGAGCTGTTGAATATAATCCTTTAGCCTCTGCTCGTCTTCCTTGGTGAACTCCGTATCACAGCTACTAGCGGTGGAGCTGGTTGTGCTGGAAAAAAAAAATCATACGTGTCCTACACATATTTCCATGATTCAGTGTTGGTTACAATAGGATAGGAATGAGAAAATTAGATAGTAGCCAAAGGGTAGTGCACAGGCTCTGCTAAATTTTCAGAGGTCCTAGTACTTCACCCTGATTCAACAGATCACAAAGGAATATAAAGGAACCATGCAAGGAATATACTTCATCATTACAAAAACTATAGTTGTTTCTATGAGCGAGGTGCTCAAAACCCATAGGGTCCAAAAATCACTTGGAGATTTTCATCTATTTAAAATCAAAGGTTTCTCACCTGGAGGTGGAGTTAGAGGGAATCTTCTAGGTTTTTTAGAGCCAGCACAGATGTAGGGTGAATCTTCTCCAATAGTCATATGTTACGGTAGGGCCCTTAAGCCTATCTAATTCTGATCTATCTACCTAGAATATTTCTGGTGATTCTCAAAGCAATCTAAGGAGTTGGATAAGTCATTTAGCACAACTAAATAGCTTATGACTATCAAATATCCTAACCTATGCTTGACTGCCTATGTGCTAGAAGGCTCCAGGCAAATGCTGGTGCATCACTCTATAATCCGGTGCTAGGATACATTACATTATTGCATTACTTTATTACATTATTACAATAATGGAAATGGAATTTTTATAAGCATGTTTTCCCAATTTCCATCCCTTTATTCATTTTAAAAATAATAACAATGATAGTTGACATTGATAGAGCACTTTAAGGTTTGCAAAATGCTTGACAAATATTATCTCATTTCATCCTCACAATGACTTTGGGAGGTAGATGCTATTATTACACTCATTTTATAGAAGAGGAAACAGGCTTAGTGAGGTTAAGTGACTTGCCCACTCATACAGTTAGCTAAGGGACTGTGGTTGGATTTGAATTCAGATGTCCTTAACTCCAGTACTCTATTCACTGTACCACCTACCTGGACTCTAATAATCTTAAGTTCTATTGTATTTTTATAAATTACAAGTTATTTTATACTACTATACATCTGTTGCTGCTCTGTCTCCTGTGAGATCTTTGGTGGAAGGGAATGAAAAGAAGTGGGTTCAGGCCTATTTTGACAGGCAGGAAGACTCCCCTGAAGTAGTTGGTTGCTAGTGTTGGGAAAAATAAGGAGGTTTGGAATAGAATTAGATGAGTGATTTCCAGAACTATGCTGGAGCCAGCCAGCTCATACCAGTACAGGAGAACCACATTTTCAGTGTGAGCATTTACACCATGGAAATCAGTAAACACTAGAAATCAGAGGTTGATTTATTGCTTTGTAGACTGTCTCGAGTCTAGACGGAATCCAAACTTCATAGAAGAAATCCTCTTACTAAAAGGATTTGTTCTGTAAAACTTGGACTTGGTCAAAAGGGCACATTCAAGGATCTAGAAGGCCACATGCAGCCTCCAGACTGCAGGTTCCCCACCCCTGGTCTAGACCAGGGGTTGTTGGCAAACTATAGCCCATGGACCAAATTCATACTTCTTTCTGTTTTTTTTTTTAATGGCCCATAAGCAAGAATGGTTTTTACATTTTAAAATAATGTTTTATCATAAAATATATCATTTAATCATGTTATTCCAAGATCTAGGGTTATCTTAGTCTTTTTTTTTTTTTGAAACCATGACTGACTCTTGGTCTCATCTGGGGTTTTCTTGACAGGACACTGGAGTGGTTTTGCCATTTCCTTCTCTATCTCATTTTACAGATGAGAAAGCTGAGGTGAACAGAGTTAAGTGATTTGCCCAGGGTCATACAGCTAGTAAGTGTCTGAGGCCACATTTGAACTCAGGTCTTCCTGACTCCAGGCTCACTGGCACTCTATCCACTGTGCCAACAGGGTATATTAATTGATTTCCTCATTAATAAAAGACAAAGGTAGGGTTTTGTAAGGAAATGCAGGAGAGAGGGAGAAAGAGGGGGGAGGAGGGAAAAAACAATAGATTGTGATCAGATAAGGACATTTCAGAATTCTATAACATGGAGTAGCTAAATTTGTGGGTGATGGCAAGATCAAGGGTATAACCAGCTTTTTATGTGATTGAGGTGGAGTGGAGCAATAGCTCATAGGTGATGAGCTACATAGGTCAAGGAAATGAGTAGTTAGGGTATTTGAGGGAGAATCAATATGTATGTTGAAGTCCCCTAGTATGAAGGCAGAGCTGAGGAGGAGAGAAAAACTGCAATTCAGGTATCAGACTTACTGAAGAAGAGGAGCAACCTGGGAGTCTGTAGACAACAGCTACCAGGATTTTGACTAGGTAGTAGATATGAATAGAATGAACCTCAAAGGAAGAGAGGTTACTAAGTGAAATTGTTTTTCCATTATTTTAATAACCGATTATTAAACTAGGATCCAGTTTTTAAATTTTTTATTTCCTGTCATTTGTCTCTGGAGGATGTGACTGATGGATGAGATTATCTCTACTTCTCCAGGAATACACTACTCTTCTTGAGCAGGATCCCACCCAATTAGGAGACCTTACTTCTACTTAGAGCATAAACAGAATCTAATATAGGTGATTTCCTGCCCCAAAGCAATGAGCGCATGCCCCTTTCCCCTCCATTGGAGTTTAGGGTGACCCAGCTCATGAAGAAGAAAACCAATCAGAGTGGTCTCATGATCAAGCCACAGTCTCAGAATGAGGAGCTGAAGTCTTTTAGCTCACCTCCTTATTAATTGTTAACCAGTCAAGGTTGATTTTTACCTACCAGGAGCACCCCCTTTTCCAAAGGTATTTAAAGCATTCAGTCAGTGTCTTTGTGGTTTTCTCTTTGGTTACCGAGAAAAAGCACTGACCATCAGCTTATTTGCTAGCCTAATTGATTCTAATTTACCAGAAACTGGTTTTTCATTCATCACATAAGTGATGGAGGAAAAGGGAGAATCTGGAATGGAGAGCAAGGAATATTATAGCTCCCCTACCTTGATCAGCGAATGAATGAATGACGAAGCAGCCAATCCTGGAGAGAGTGGCCAGGGAGGCTGTGTCATCAGGGAGAAGCCAAGTTCAAATAAGAGCTAGTAGGTGGAAGGAGTAGGAGAGGAATAGTTTTAAGATGAAGGAAAGTTTGTTGCCTATGGAATTGGCATTCCAGAGGGCACACTGGAAGGGCTGGGTAAAGTTCAGATGAAACTTTGAAGTAGAAAAGTTGAGGGGGATGGGAATGAGGAACTGGGTGGCAGGAGATGAGAAATGGGGTTTAGATGATGATCTATAGTAATTCAGAGTCACCGGGATGTGATGCATGTGAATAGATGTGAGAATACCCTCCAAAGTGCAACAGGAGACGGAATGCCTTGAGTTGAAAGGAGGGTTGCTCTTCTTTGCACAGAAGGCTTTCCACATCCCAGTTGAGGGGGTAAGTTGTCTTGTGCTGGTACAGATGGACATGGTTTCTTTGGAGCACAGGGAAGGTGCCTGGCCCTTAGTAGCCTTCCCTCTGGGAATACAGCACCCAGCAAGAGTTGGAAGGCTCAGGGCACTAGTTTTGTAGAGTAAGAGACAGTTCTTGACCTCAAGGAGTTCAAAATGTGTTGGGAGAGAGATCACATAAAAAGAAACTGTAAAGTGGGGGACAGGGAAAGAGGTAACCGGGAGGGGGGGAGTTTCCGAGTTGATTTTATCTTACAGAATGACATATTTCTGGAGATGATGAAGTCCAGGTAGCCTTTGTCACAAATGATGAAGAATCCTCCAAACATCTCCAACTGGAAGGAGAGAGGGGCCTCAGCACAGTGATATAGTAGTACAACAATACCAACTATATCACTGAAGTAAAATACTGTTTTCTAAAATCTAGTCAGGGAAGTTCATTAGCTATCATGTTAGAAAGACTTGGGGGTGGGGGGAGAATAAAAAGAAAGTTACATGATAACTTTATTATGTATTTTAAAGGAATAGCAATTGCACATAATAGAGTTGTCATTTCATGTACAATTATCTTTTTTTCCCTATTCTACCATGTTATGGAAATGCTTGTTTTATTTAAGTTCAGAATAAAATAAATAAAATTTTTTAAAAAGATACCCTCAGGGAGATCCACAGACCCTGAGGAGATAAGTGTGAGTCAGGATAGACACCCATGTGATGGGAACAATATCCCCCTATCTCCCTGTTCCACTCCTGACAATAAAGGTTAGGGCTGATTTATCTCTAAAAGGTGACAAAGCCAGGACTTGATTACCCAGGGCTGGGCCAAGGAGGGATAAAGCTTCCTGTTGGCCTGTGTTGAGGTGGCTTCATGGTGACTCAGGTGTATAAAAGGTCCCATTCACATTAGGTTGGTGCTCCTGACTTGCTAAATATCTGAAGACCATAAACACATACATACCATGCTTGCCCAGCTGAACAGATATTTAGGGCACATCTACCAAAGCTAAATGCCACTGTTATCTTTGCTTCATATTAGAGCTATGTTAGGGCTAAGTGAACCTCCTTTTGTTAACTGTTTAATGACCTTTTTTCATGTTTGTTTAATGACCTTCAACATCAAAACTGAAAGACGGTATGGCATCAAGCTTGCCTCTAACAATCCCATACCATGAAATAACGATGAAATAGTTAACTAAGACAATCTATAAGAAAGAAGCTTCTTCCTACCTTCTTTCCCTCTGAATTCATAAATTTCTTATAGATCTTCATAAATCAAAGTTAAAAGCAATACCCAAAAGAGTGACACAATACCCAAAGAGTAATAGTGAGAAGGATTCTGGTTTTTCTTTCTCTTTAAAACAACAACAACAGATTTTTAAAACCATAAAAGCAAAGTCACATACATCCCCATAAAGCTAAATTATTGCCAATGAACATCTAGCTTTGCTGTGAGGTATTTTTTTCCTAAAGGCCTGAATTCTCCCTGTCTCCAACCTGCCAGACAAAATACTCTTTCTATAACATCTGTTTAGCTCTTACAAGATCAATGATAGTACCTGTATTCTCTGTTGGAGAATCTAGTAAAATAGGTGTTACCTAGAAATGA